TCTGGCTACACCCATTTTACCTTCTGGTATAAACTACTTAGCTCAGTGTTGTGTCTGTGTTTCTGCTCCTCCCCTCCCTTTGATTACAAACAGTATTGTTAATTAGAAAAAGAGGGCCTCAAATATATAGGGATGATGCTTTGACAGAACCATGATCTAAGTTTGGGAGGCAAAGATTTCAGTGAATACTCTTATCTTTAGGATGGGGCATCCAGTATCAGTTTTGTATTGTAGGTAGTCATATAGTATGTGTCATGAGCACATTTAGCTTTACCTTACTTTTCCTTCTGTGTTTTTGTTTGGCCTAAAAATTATTTAGGATATATTTGGTATGTTGTTCTGTTTCCAAACCCTGGGATTCCCTCCATGATTTCTATTCTACAAGCTTACTAATCACTCCTAAACAGCAGAAAAAGAAAACTGACAGGGAAAAAACCCATGCTCATTGACATACCTACGGTCCACATATATTTAAGTATCAACTAAAACTTGTAGAAATTTTTGTCGAAATTCATTTCATGGTGAGAATGGTACTTCTCATTGCCTGAATCCTCTAATGCTTCCTAGAGAGGAAAGATGAAAAAAAATTTTGGTGGATCCACCAATAGGCTGAGCTGTTGTTGGTTGATTGAAGACTATTCCAAGATATTCTAAGAAATAGTCAAAACTTCATTAACCAATATGCTCATTTTGTTGTTTCAACAGGATCTTGCTATGTAACCCAGGCTGGCCTTGAACACTTAGTCTTCTCATCTCTACCTTCCAGAGTGCTCGTATTACAAGCAGATGTCATCACATCTGGCAAATGGCACCTTTGTTAAAAAAAATCTCTAAAATTATGCTAGCTCATGTAATTGGCTTCAAAATGTTAAAAAAAATTATTTTCAGAAAAAGTAAAAAGTCATGACTCTTGTACAGATATAAAAACAAACACGTGTTAAAGATTTTATTCTATTCATTAATCAGCAAAGGAATCAGACAGATGTTATAGTTATTTCCAAGAAAAAGTCAAAAAGCACAAACTTATATGGAGTGAAGGAACTAGATGGCTAATTCAGGCAAAACTTTTTCCACACCGAGGAAGGAGGTTAATCCAGACTCTATGAGACAAGACAAGTTTTCTTATCTATCAGTTATCTGCAATTTACAGAGGTGCAAAATAAGTCAGAGATGATAAACTGAAGTAGAATCAGGCATCTCTGAAAGGTATGCTATAGATAATGCAGGTACTTTTCTATAGTAAGCAAGTATTGGCGGAGGTGTTTTCTTTTTCTTTTTCTTTCTTGGTTGATTTTTGCTTCTTGTGATTTCTCAGGGTCATCACCTCAATTCAGATCCAGAATTCAGTACCATATAACATGCATTTACTGCGTACTTGCTATGTGTAAGGTGTTTCAGAGGAACCAGAGACAAAAAAAGATGTTATTCTTTCCTCAAGTAGCTGATTATGTGGTAGGGGAGACAGATATGTCATACTCCCCTCTAATCACACAACAGAAGAAAATCAGTACAAGGCTAAAGGTAGGAATTAAGTGTTGGAGGAGAACCAGAGATGGAGGGGTTAACTGATCAGGGGCTGAGGTGGAGGGGATGACACAATGACATTTAAACCAGGCATTGAGGGATGACAGCAAGGGGAAGAGGGGTCACAGGGGGTGGGAAAAGGCCATTTCAGAGTGAGGAAGCAACAGAGACCTGAAACTGGATGGCCTGTTTAGGGAAGGGTCAGGATCTGACATGGCTAGGTTGGCAGGGAAAGGGCAAGAAATAGCAGAAGAGGAGACTGAAGAGAAGGTTTGAGGCCAAGTCCTGAGGGCCCTGAAGGATGTGCTAAGAATCTCGTTTAATTCTGATGGCTTTTGATGAGGGAGGGGAGACTTGATCGAATCAGTGCTTTAGGAGATGAATTGATTGTAGAATCAAGCAATAGTAGAGGGAGCAGTTAAGCAGCCAGTGTAATATTCCTGGTGTGAGATGATGAGAGCCTGCACCAGGGCAGTGGCAAGAGGGGTAAGGAGAAGAGGCTTTATCAAGATTTGACTCCTGATTGTATCTGGACAGTGGAGAGGAGAGGAGTTGAACAAATTTCTAGGCTAGGGGACAGTGCTATTAACTAAGACAGGAAGCATGCTGTGTCTGGCATGGCGTGTGGGGAGCACATTTACAGGAGTAGATAATGAGTCTGGTTTGAGACCCGTTGGATTTGAGAGGCTCAGTGGACATCCAATTAACAGTGAGTTGATGGCAGCTGGGAATTCAGGTCTGGGCCTATGGAGAGAGGTCAAGACTAGAGATACAGATGTGGAGGTTGTCAGCGCACCCAGGGGTGAATTGAAACAGTGGGAGCTCATAGATAAGAGATAAGGGATAGGCAGGGCTGACATCCATAGGCAAAGAGATAGAGGCTGTGAGGAAAAGCCAGTAAGAGCCAGAAAAGCACTGAGGAAAAGGATGCAGATAGACAAAGATTAGAAAGAGAAGGCAGAGACAGCAGGAGGCAAAAAGTAGAGGAAGATAAAAAGGAAGAGAGAAAAGAAGGAGGAGAGACTGAAGAGGAACCTCAGGTAAATGAAGAAAATGACACCAAGTCAAGAGAGGATGGGAAGAGAAGTGAGAAGGGAAAGTTGGAGTGGTGACTATGCTTGGAGAGAGACAGGAGAAGAGAAGTGTGTGTGTGTGTGTGTGTGTGTGTGTGTGTGTGTGTCTGTGTCTGTGTCTGTGTCTGTGTGTGTATGAGAGAGAGAGAGAGAGCACGTTGGGAGAACAACAGGGGGAAGAGAGAGGAGGACGAAGAAACAGGAGAAGAAATAGAGAAGCATAGGAGAGAGTGGAGTTAAGGAGAGAGGGGTGAACTTTGGAAAACAGGAAGGAAAAGAAATGAGAGATGGTAACAGAGTTAAGATGAGACACACACAGCCAGGTGCTCATGGCTCACACCTGTAATCCTAGCTACTCAGGAGGCTGAGATCTGAGGATCACAGTTCAAAGCCAGCCTGAGCAGGAAAGTCTGTGAGACTCTTATCTTCAGTGAACCACCAGAAAACTGGAAGTGGTGCTGTGCCTCAAACAGTAGAGCACTTGCCTTGAGCTGATGAGCTCAAGGACAGCATCCAAGCCCAGAGTTCAAGCCCCATGACCACGACCAAAAAAAAAAAAAAAAAAAAAAAAGACACACACAGAGGTAAGGGGCAGTCTTCAGTGAATATCCAAGATTCTAGGGTGGACAAGAAGGGTAGAAGAGAAGCCACCTGCCACTGGGTCAGGAAAGCTAGGAAAGGGGAAAGTATGCAAAAAGGGGGCATCTTTGCTGTCCTCACTTGACACCTTCCTTCCTTTTGGGGCTAGCCACCTGGCCTCCTGGCACTTCCTTGACCTTAGCAGACAGTCCTTTGCCTGAGGACCTTTGCATATACTCTTTCTCTCACTGGAATGCTCTCCTCCCAGATAGCTTTATTGCTTGCTAATCTCCTTTGGGTTGCTGAAATGTGTCCTCAGAAAGGAATACCCTGATCACCCTATTTCAAGTCATAATCCATTCATTCACATATACCATACGCATGGTCTCTCATGCTCCTTAGCCTGTGTGGTATACCTTGTAACATGCTATAACATAAAATGATTTAACATACTTCTTATGCATCTTATCCTTGAAGAATTTAAGCACGCTGCAGTCATGGATTTGAGTCTATTTTATTCAGTTAAATCCCTGGTACCTAGGACAGTTCTGGCACATAGTAAAAGCTCAGTAGATATTTGTTCAATGAATAAGTGAATGCTATTGACAATGAACAAGATTGAAAAAGGATTAAAATGATAAATAGAACAAATTTATGATGTGACTGTACTCTGAGACATAGAGAATAGAAAATTCTCATCACTGTAGGGTTCTGTTTAGAGCTTTGATGAATAAGGATTTTAGCTAATAGAGTAAGTTTGGAGTTTAAGGGCCTCAAGACAGGCTCTTTGGATAAAGCTCTTTTTCTTGTTACTTCCTTAGCTAGAAGTAGAATTGACTGTGCAGTGGTTGTCAATGGCCAGAGCTGGATAGTGGTTGGTGAAGGAAGAGGTAGATTATGGGGGTGGCAGACTAATATGAAGGGACAAAGGCATATGTGGTTCTTTTTGCTGTAGTTGTTGGTCATGGGGCTTGAACACAGGGCTTGGGGTGCTGTCCCTGAGCTTTTCTGTGCCAGGCTATTGATCTACCACTTTGAGCCACAACTCCACTTCTGGTTTTCTGATGGTTAATTAAAGATAAGAGTCTCACGGACTTTCCTGCCCAAGCTAGCTTTGAACCACTATGCTCTGAGCACAGCTTGCTGAGCTTACAGGTGTGAGCCACCAGAGCCCAGCTAATACGTAGTTCTTGATGGAGCTTTGTTTTTGTTTGCTTGTGGACAGAGTACAAGGAGTATTGCACCCAATTCAGGGGCAGCTTTTCTACTATGTTAGATAGGTGCATTATGACCAACTTGGAGGCAGAACAGATTACATTTGAAGAGCTTGTGAAGAAAGCATGTGCTTCCTCTGGAGTGCTTAAATTGGTTTCATCACTCAGATCCTTCAGTACCAATGGATTAGAGAGCAGATGTGAAAAAGACCCCTGGTCTTGGCAATGCACTTGTTATTCAAATGGGTGTATGCCTCTAATTGTAGTCACTTAGGCTAAATATGTACAGAAAAATAAGCTGTCATTTCATTTGTCTACAATAGATTGAATTTTCTCAACAACTCTAGCATATATGTCTTTGAAGAGAATTTTAGAATCACCAAGTGATTTTCTGAGTCCTCATGTCCACCCTGAAACATATATTCCTGGAAAACCAATGGCACCGTTTCCCCTATTTGGACTTTTATTTTTCCATAGCAGGATGGTTTGGGAGAGTCTGCTTTAATATTTTAATGCTATAAGTAACTTCAATTTAAGTTTCTGTATAAAAGCCTGGTAAAGAAGCTGTCCTGTACTGAGTTTTGACTTTGGGGGATTCTTTTTTTCCCAGAGGGAGTGGCCACAGCAGATCTTATCTGGTGGCGAGTGGCTGTCATGATCTCTACAGCACCGCTCTACAGCGGCGTGCACAACTGGACCAGTTCTGACCGGATTCGCATGTGTGGCATCAACGAGGAGAGGTGAGGAGGTTTGATAGTGTTTGTTGCCAGACTTCCAGTGAGTGGTAACTGCCCATAGAGGGGTAGTATGTAGTAAGGCCTGTGGACAAGACTCTTGGTTGTTTCTAATTCCCCTGAGATGGGCTGAATCTGAGGTTAGGGGAGTGAACTGCTTTGCCATGCTGTCCCTATTCAGATGGCCTTTGTTAATATTAGTTTGTTAAGAACTGTCTGGCACTAGTGGCTCTCAGCTGTAATCCTATCTATTCAGGAGGCTGAGATCTGAGGATTGTGGTCAAGTTGCCCGGGCAAGAAAGACCATGAGACTCTTATCTCCAGTTAATCACCAAAACCACCAGAGGTGGAGAGGTGGCTAGTTTTGTTTTGTTTTGTTTCGTTTTTGTCAGTCGTGGTGCTCTTCAGCTCAAGGCTACCACTCTGTGTCTTGAGCCACAGCGCCACTTCTGGTTTTCTGAGTGGATTGGAGATAAGAGTCTCACAGACTTTCCTGCCTGGGCTGGCTTTGAATCGAGATCCTCAGATCTCAGCCTCCTGAGTAGCTAGGATTACAGGTATGAGCCACCGGTGCCCAGCTGGGTGGCTAGTCTTGGGTAAAAAAGCTCAATGAAAGTGTGCAGGCTCTGAGTTCCAGCCCGAGGATAAGCACACACACAGACACACAGACACAATCTCAACGGGTGTCATTGTTCCATTTTCATATATGCCTATAAAGTGCTTTTACGGTATTCACCCCTTTACCTTCTCTGTTGGCCCTCCTCACTCCTGCTGGTGCCTCCCTCCCCATAAAACCTGCTTTACTTTTCTGTGAGTCATTTTTCATTTTTTGGTCACTCTTGGCGCTGTCCCTGAGCCCCTTTGCTCAAGGCTAGTGCTCTACCACTTTGAGCCATAGCACCTCTTCCAGTTTTCTGGTGGTTAATTGGAGATAAGGGTCTCACAGACTTTCCTGCCTGGGCTGGCTTTGAACCACAATCCTCTTATCTCAGCCTCCTGAGGAGCCAGGATTATAAGCATGAGCCACTGGTGCCTGGCTTGTGATTCTTTTTTTTTTTTTCAGTGTATATTAACTGTACAAAGGAGTTTCATCATTTGTTCATGCATATATTATAATTTAGCCAGATTGACCTCATCTGTTGCTCTTTTTCCTGGTTTTCTTTACCCTCTATTGTTCAGTAGCTTTTAGTGAGTTTCCCTATGCCATCTTCATACACAGACACCATGTATTCATCCTCATTATTCTCTTTCCTTTTCTGTCCTCCCCTTCATTTCCCTAAACAGTCCCACAGTTAAATTTATGAACATAGTGTTAATACAAGCTTGAGAGTTGGTGATGCTTGTCTGATTTGTGTGTTTTCCATTTTCTGATTATAACAATATTTGGTTGACCCAGGTAGGCCATTTCCTGATAATGCCCTGTACTAAGGGCACCTAAAATGCTCTTCAAAGTTTATATTTTGTTTTCATATGTTGGCTACATGTGGTATTTGTGATGTCTCTCCATTTTAAGAGAAGACTGAGTTCTCCCGTGCTTGCAGGTGTTTTCTGGTGGTTCAGTTGGTAATTTCAAAGGGAAAGGGCAATGAGCCAGGTACTAGTGGCTCACGCCTATAATCATAATTATCCAGCGGGCTGAGATTTGAGGATCACAGTTTGAAATCAGCCTGGGCAGAAAATTGTTAGAAGTCTTAATAGACTCTTATCTCCAATTAAACAAAAAAAAATCTGGAAATGGAGGTATGACTCAAGTGGTAGAGCACAGTCTTAAGCAAGAAAGCCAAGCGAGAGTGCAAGGCCCTGAAGTCAAGCCCCATGAATGGATGTCTTTGTTTTATGTATTTTTGTGATGCTCTGGAGAAACTCAGGAACTTAGGGATACTGAGCACATGCTGTACCATGAAGCTATACCCCAGCCCCATGTTTTTGCTTTATTGTGCCAGTCCTGGGGCTTGAACTCAGAGACTGGTCATAGTCCCTGATATTTTTGCCCAAGGCTAGCATTCTACCACTTGACCCATAGCTCTACCTCCAGCTTTTTGGTGGTTAATTGGAGATAAGAGTCTCAAAGGATTTTCTGCCCTGGCTGGGCTGACTTTGAACCACCATCCTCAGATCTCAACCTCCTGTGTAGCTAGGATTATAGAATGTGAGCCACTGGCTCCCAGCCCATATTGTTTTTTGTTTGTTTGTTAGTCCTGAACTTGAACTCAGGGCCTGGGTGCTGTCCCTGAGCTTTTTTTTTCTCAAGACTAGCAGCCTACCACTTTGAGCTACAGCACTACTTCTGGCTTTTTGGTGATTAATGGGAGATAATTGAGTCTCATGGACTTTCCTGCCAGGGCTGGCTTTGAACCGTGATCCTCAGATCTTAGCCTCCTCAATAGCTAGGACTACAGGCATGAGCCACTGGCACTACTCGGCTTTATATTTTTGTTTAATCTACCTTTTTCTCCTGTTCCTAACTCTAGAGGTATATGCTTTTCTAAGGTTAAGACTAAAAGAATAGACTGGCTTATTTTCTGAAGCTCTTAGCCTGATAGCCATTAATGCATGATATTAAACACAATTTGTTCCATACTGAGGAACAAGTTAGAGATCGGCTTAAAATGAATTTAATTTTCGACTCCAAAAATCAAGACCAAAGAAAATAAGATGAATTCTTCTGAGAGACAGCAGCTGAGATTTTCCTGTGTATATGTTATCCATAGATAACTAATAAGAGATGATCTACAGCAAAGCAAGATGGTGGTGTTGCTTTGTGTGGATAGTCAATATTCACTGATAAGTTATGTTGGTCTAGTTCTAAGTAGTGGACACTTTGTAGAGATGTAGAACAGCATCCAAGAAACCAGGAAACAAGTTACCCTTACATATCTGCTAAGAATGGTCTCAAAATCTGATTTTCCCTCTTTACAAACCTCTTTTGGGATGCTCAATTACCAAATATACCTAGTGTTTAAAATGACCTTTTAAGCATTACTACTTCTGATCTCATTCATCCATGTGTTATCATCACCTTACCACAATCTAGGTCGTCCTACAGCTGATTTCCAAAGTATTATCCTATCGTATGTAAAAATCATCTTCCTCCACCATTTCCAACTTGTAAAACTTAGACACTATGGGTCCAAAACTTCTCTTGGGCATTAACTCTGGAAGTTATGTTGTAGAAGCCTGCCAGGCTTTATCAGCTACAGTTGTGGACTACAGAACTGGGGACATGGGTTTTCTGCTGGTCCCAAATGGCCTGTTCTAGTCATTAGTCATTCTACCATTAATTCACTCCTTCCTTGAAGAAACATTTATTAGAAGCCATGCATGGTTGGCTTACACTTGTAATCCTAGCTACTCAGGAGGCTGAGATCTGAGGATCACGTTTTGAAGCCAGCCACAACAGGAAAGTCCTTGAGACTCTTGTGTCCAATTAATCACAGAAAAGACTGGAAGTGGTGCTGTGGCTCAAGTGGTAGAGTGCTAACCCTGAGCAAAATGAGCCTAGAGATTGCACCCAGGTCCTGAATTCAAGCCTCAAGACTGGCAAAAAGAAAAAAAAGAAAAGAAACAGTTTGTGTAGCTTTTGAGGCCTGCAGTGGTTCATATCTCTCTCCCATATGAGCAATGCCTCATGGATCCTGAATGGTTACCTTGGTGGGTAAGCTCTTGGGAGGGGGAGGAACAGGGAGGAATTTGTAGGTTCTGGAGGGGTCCTTTTGGAAAGAACCCTAGAAAGCAGGATGAACATCCCAGAGACAAGAATCTACTCAGACCAGTGTGCTTTGCAGGAACCTGCAATGCTACATGTGGACACTCTGCTTTGCATCCTGGAAACACGCCCCCCACCCCGCCCTCTCCACCAATACATTGTGATATCCCCCAAGCCACCCTGGGTAATGACACAGGATGGTTTTGTGGGAAACCAAGCAGGCAGAGAGCCTTTTGGGGAAAGCCGTGGTGATTCCAGATCTGAGCTTCATATCCCTCCTCTGGTTGTGTCTCCCATGCCAGAAGAGCACCTCTTTCTGATGAGGAGTCCACGACAGGTGACTGCCAGCACTTTGGATCTCAGGAGTTTTGTGTTGGCGGCAGTTTTTCCAAGGTAAGGAGTTATGAGCTGCCACATGATGCCCTCCAAAGGTGAGGCAGGTTTTCCTATATGAGCAGGAGGGCTAGAGGGAGACTGGGTATTTCCCCTGAGTTACTGTTGGTGGGGCAGAAATCGGCTGGCTTTCCTTTGCTTCTGCCAAGATCTAGTTGGTTGAGTCGCAGAGAGGACCAGGAGTTGTCTCTCAAGGCCTTCAGGATACATGCACCAGCCAAAAGGAACTCAACAACAGTGGGCACACTGTTCTGTCATTGCAGGTGGAGCTCACCGCAGTTGGAAGTGGCAGCAATGCCCGGGGGGCAGACTCAGATGGCAGTGCGACAGAAAAACTTGGGCACAAGTCCGAGGAGCAGCCTGATGATCTCCAGTCAAAAATGGACTATGCTGGGAATACTGCAGAGGCTGAGGGGCTCCTGGTGCCACTGAGCAGCCCAGGAGACGGGCTCAAACTGCCCACTCCTGACAGCCCCGAGGCCTGCAATAGCAGGGCCGACTGCTCTTGGACTCCCCTCGGCACGCAAATGAGCAAGCAAGTTGACTGCTCAGCAGCTGGGGTAAAGGCTTTGGACTCAAGGCACGGTGTTGGGGACAAGAATACTTTCATTTTGGCAACTTTGGGAACCGGAGTCCCCGTGGATGGGAGCCTGCCTCTGGTTACCACTAACTTTAGTTCGCTGCCAGCTCCCATTTGTCCCCCTACTCCTGGTTCGGCCTCTGTACCCCCATCTGTTCCAGATCCATTCCAGGTTCCCCTCTCTGTCCCTGCCCCAGTACCCCATTCTGGGCTAGTTCCAGTCCAAGTTGCTACTTCGGTTTCAGCTCCTTCTCCTCCCCTAGCGCCAGTCCCTGCTCTGGCCCAGGCCGCAGCACCACCCTCAGTACCCACTCTTATCTCAGACTCAAGCCCCCTGTCTGTGTCAGCCTCTGTGTTGGTGCCTGTGCCAGCATCTGCTCCACCCTCGGTCGCAGTCCCCCTGTCAGCTCCTGCTCCTACTCCTCTCTCAGTGCCCGTTTCAGCCCCTCCTTTGGCCCTGATCCAGGCTTCTGGGACTCCTTCAGCTCCCACTTTGGTCCTCGCTCCGGTGCCCACACCAGTTTTGGCTCCTATGCCAGCATCCACACCTCCAGCAGCCCCTGCCCCTCCGTCTGTGCCGATGCCCACTCCAACGCTGTCCTCTGGCCCGCCTTCTACCCCTACCCTCATTCCTGCCTTTGCTCCCACGCCGGTGCCTGCACCCACCCCAGCCCCAATCTTTACTCCAGCCCCCACGCCCATGCCGGCTGCCACACCAACTGCCATTCCCACTTCGGCCCCCATCCCAGCTTCCTTCAGTTTGAGTCGAGTGTGTTTTCCTACAGCTCAGGCACCAGCTATGCAAAAAGTCCCTCTGTCTTTTCAGCCAGGGACAGTGCTAACCCCAAACCAGCCACTGGTTTATATCCCACCTCCAAGCTGTGGGCAGCCACTCAGTGTGGCCACACTGCCAACTACCCTGGGAGTGTCCTCCACTCTGACGCTCCCTGTCCTGCCATCCTACCTGCAGGACAGGTGTCTCCCGGGCGTGCTGGCCTCACCGGAACTCCGGTCTTACCCATATGCATTTTCTGTGGCCCGTCCTCTGACATCAGATTCTAAGCTAGTCTCTCTGGAAGTGAACAGACTCCCGTGCACTTCCCCATCCAGTAGCTCTACCACCCAGCCCACACCTGATGGGGTCCCCGGGCCTTTGGCAGATACCTCCCTCACCACTGCTTCTGCCAAGGTGCTTCCAACTGCACAGCCTTTGTTGCCAGCCCCCAGTGGGAGCTCAGTCCCACCACACCCCACCAAGATGCCAGGTGGTGCTGAGCAGCAAACAGAAGGGAGTTCTATTACCTTCTCTCCCCTCAAATCACCTCCACAGCTAGAACGGGAGATGGCCTCTCCACCAGAGTGCAGCGAGATGCCCCTTGACCTCTCCTCCAAGTCTAACCGCCAGAAGCTTCCCTTGCCGAACCAGCGCAAAACACCTCCCATGCCCGTGTTGACGCCGGTACACACCAGCAGCAAGGCCCTCCTCTCCACAGTCCTGTCGAGGTCTCAGCGCACAACCCAGGCTGCTGGCAGCAATGTTACCTCCTGCCTGGGCTCTACGTCCTCACCCTTTGTGATCTTCCCTGAGATTGTGAGGAACGGGGATCCCAGCACCTGGGTGAAAAACTCCACTGCGCTGATCAGCACCATTCCTGGCACATATGTGGGAGTGGCCAACCCAGTGCCTGCATCTCTGCTGCTGAACAAAGAGCCCAACCTGGGCCTCACTCGAGACCCCCGCCATCTCCCCAAGCAGGAGCCCATCTCCATCATTGATCAAGGAGAGCCCAAGAGCACTGGTGCCGCATGTGGCAAAAAGGGCACCCAGACTGGTGCTGAAGGACAGCCAAGCACAGCAAAGACTCGTTACACCCCAACCCGTATTGCCCCTGGGCTGCCAGGGTGCCAAACCAAGGAACTTTCCTTGTGGAAACCTACAGGGCAGGCAAATATTTATCCACGGTGTTCAGTCAATGGGAAACCCACCAGCACCCAGGTCCTGCCTGTTGGCTGGTCACCATACCACCAAGCATCTCTACTTTCCATTGGCATTTCCAGTGCCGGGCAGCTGACTCCCAGTCAGGGGATGTCCATCAGACCAGAGTTTTCTGGTGTGCCATCTCTTGGCCCCAGTGAAGCTGTGCATGGACTTCCTGAGGGGCAGTCGCGGCCCGGGGGCCCCTTTTCTCCAGAGCAGGACACTGTCACAAAGAACAAAACTTGCCGGATTGCTGCCAAGCCTTATGAAGAACAAGTCAATCCTGTCCTCCTGACTCTCAGCCCTCAGACAGGGACCCTGGCTCTGTCAGTTCCACCTAGCAGTGGGGACATAAGAGTGAATCAGGAGCCCGAGGAATCAGACAGCCACCTCTGTTCTGATAGTACTCTTAAGATGGAAAGTCCCCAGGCGGCTTGTGGCCTGAAGCTAGCAGGAGACACAAAGCCTAAGAACCAAGTGCTGGCTACCTATATGTCTCATGAGCTGGTCCTGGCCACTCCCCAGAACCTGCGCAAGATGTCTGAGCTGCCTTTGCTACCTCATGACAGCCACCCCAAGGAACTTATCTTGGACGTGGTTCCAAGCAGCAAGAGGGGCTCCAGCACAGAGCTTTCGCAGCTTGGAAGCCAGGTGGATCTGGGGCGGGTGAAAATGGAAAAGGTGGATGGTGATGTGGTCTTCAATTTAGCCAGCTGTTTCCGGGCTGATGGCCTCCCAGTAGCTCCCCCGAGGGGTCAAGCGGAAGTGCGAGCTAAGGCTGGGCAGCCTCGAGTAAAGCGGGAAAGTGTTGGGGTCTTTACTTGCAAGAACAAGTGGCAGCCAGATGAAGTGACAGAATCCCTGCCACCCAAGAAGATGAAGTGTGGCAAAGAGAAAGAAGCTGAGGAACAGCAGCTGCCGCCTCCACCTCAAGTCAAGCCCATAGTCCGGAGTTCCCTGGGATCCAAGGTGAGTGCCAGTGCCCAGGATGAGGAGAGACCTTTTTGGTCTGCTTTGTCTGCAGATCTCATTTGCATTTGAGCTCCTCCTAAGCCCCACTGTTCTTGAGTACCTATGTAAACAGCACTGATGAGAAGGCTTTTTCCTTTCTAACTTACATTCTCTGTATATGAATGGTGTTTTCACCGAGGAAGGGGCAGACTTTATCATTTAGGATAGAGGCAATGATCCAATCTTGGGAGCCAGGGAAGCGATTGTCCCATGAGGTTATAAAGCCGAAGAAAGTATTGGAGAGGAAAATCAATTAGTAGCACACTCTTTCCTGAGTAACCATTCTTCCTTACCATTTAACAAGATGATTGATCAGTAGCCTTGAGATATTGGGGTCCAGGATGAGAAGGAGCCTATGACAAGACATTCCTTGCATTACTGGAAGATCCTTCTTTGGATCTGCTTGGAGTATTATGGGACCAGAGCCCACTGGGATTCCAGGATAATCCACCAGAATCCTGGCACTTTCCTGTTTGAACAGGTGGCAGCACTGGGTTTTGGCACTTGAGAATGTGGCAGATGATACAGATGGGCATCCAGTCTCAGTTCACAATAGACAGATTATGGGTAGGGGCAGAGTGTGAAGTAAAAAGGTGGGCCAACCTGGATGCTGATGGCTCATACCTGTAATCCTAGCTACTCAGAAGCCTCAGATCTGATGATCTCAGTTTGAAGCCAGCTGGGGCAGGAAAATCCATGAGACTCTTATCTCCAATTAACCACCAGAAAAGGCAGAAGTAGAGCTGTGGCTCAAGTGGTAGAACACTAGTCTTGAGCACAAACTCTCAGGGACAGTGCCCAGGCCCTGAGTTCAAGTACCAGGAATGGCACAAAAAAAAGGTAGGCCAGGAGTACTTGATTTGCATCTACTCCTCTTCCTAAGGGGAACTGAAAATATTGGTAAGCCATGAAGCCATGCAAGTTCTTTTTTTTTTTTTTCCAGAGACTGGGACTCAGATTCAGTATCTGATGCTTTTGGTTATTGGCTGTCACTCACCCACCTGAGCCATGCCTCCAACCTGGAGGAAATTCTTGAGACAGTGCAGTGATAGAGCTTGTTCAACACTTGGAACAATGGGAAGTTCTGTTAACATATTTTCACAGTTGACATACTTTAAGGGACAAATTACTAGCCAGAGTGTCATGGATTTGTGGCACAAACTTTTAGTCAATTTTGGGCTGTAGACCATTTTGAGAGCCATGGACCTGGTCCCCAGAAACATGACCTCAGAAGTTTGCCAATAATTCCAGTATATTCATAGACCCATTCCCTCCCCAATGCCCACCTATATACTTCAGGTTAAGAATCCCAGGGATCCAGAATTCTAGAGCCTAAGGCAAGAGGGTCTCATAAACAGGCTAGGGGTGTAGCTCAGTGATAGAGAGCTTGCCTACCCTATGCATGGCCCTGAATTATGTTACCATTATCCCCAAAAGAAAGGATAAAAAAAACCCTGGGGGAGAGTCTAGGTGGATTTTACATAGTGACTTCATACCTACCCCTTATATGTGAGAGACATGCATAATAGGAACATGGATCGTTCACAGTACAATGTATGACATTTGGCCAGGTTAACTGCCAAATAATCATAGTAATAATCCATATCATTAGAGATCTTAACATTGAATTTTTACTAAATACTAAGTGCTCTTACATATGTTATTTAATTTAATCCTTATAATAATCCTATGAGAGAAATACTACACCCAATTTAGAGGTGAATAAAATAGGCTTAGAGAAGATATTAGCCAAAGTTACACTGCTACAAAATGGCAGAGCTGAAACTACAACTCTGGTCTCTTTGGCTTCAAAGTCTTCAGCAATGCCACACTCTCTTCAACTTTCCTTATCTGAACCACCTCACTGAATGTTTAGCCAATATTTACTGAGTAGTTTCCTATGCCACTCCCTCCCAGGCAATGGCACTACTTATTTAAGAGAGTACCAGAGGACTGGTGATGAGTGTGCCCCTATAAGGTCTGTAACAGAGCTTCAGTCTTTTCCTAGCTGTGTGTCATTGATTAAGCTTCTTAATCTCTCTGACCCTTAGTTTTTTTTCATCTGGTTAATGAAACAGTGACACTTACTCATAGGATTGCTGTGAAAATTAAATGAGATAATTACATGAAATGTCTAGAATAGACAAACAATAGAGAAAAAGTACATGATTGGTTTCCTAGGGCTTGGGAGGGTGGGGAATTGGAAAAGGGGTAACTGATTAATGCCTATGAAGTGTTCGTTCAGGGTAACGAGAAAGTTCCAGAACTAAGTAAATGATAAAGTTACACAAGGCTGTGACTATATTGACACAATTGAAATGTATACTTGAATAACTGAATTGTAAAGCTGTTATTAGAAGACTGAAGGAGATGATATACAAGTGCTTAAAACTCCTTGCACATAGTAAATGCTCAGTGTTAGTGGCTGCTGTTTTTTTTTTTTTGGTCCAGTCGTGGGGCCTGAACTCTGGGCTTGGGTGCTGTCCCTCAGCTCTTCAGTTCAAGGCTAGCGCTCTACCACTTGAGCCACAGCACCACTTCTGGCTTTTTTCTTTTTGCTTATGTGGGGCTGAGTCGTCGAACCCAGAGCCTTATGCATGCAAGGCAAGCGCTCTACCACTGAGCCACCTTCCCAGCCCCAGTGACTGCTGTTTTTATTGTTAGAGCTACAAACAAAGTAGATGTGGTCCTTGCCCTTATGGAGCTTATGTCTTTTTTTTTGTTGTTGGTCATGGGGCTTGAACTCTGGGCCTGGGCGCTGTCCCTGAGCTTTTCAGCTCAAAGCAAGTGCTGTACCACTTGAGCCACAGTGCCACTTCTGCTTTTCTGGTGGTTTATTGGAGATAAGAGTTTCATGGCCTTTCCTGTCCAGGCTGGCTTTGAACCGTGATCCTCAGATCTCAGCCTCCTGAGTAGCTAGGATTACAGGCATGAGCCAACGGTGTCCCAGCGCTTATGTCTTTTTTTTTTTTTTGCCAGTCCTGGGGCTTGAACTCAGGGCACTGTCCCTCAGCTCTTCAGCTCAAGGCTAACACTCTACCACTTGAGCCACAGTGCCATTTCTGGCTTTTTCTGTTTATGTGGTACTGAGGAATAAAACCCAGGGCCTCATGCATGCAAGGCAAGCACTCTACACTGACCCACCTTCCCAGCCCTGTTGTGTCTTTTTGATGACTCAGTGGCATGCAGGCACAGCCCCTTCAGTATGAGATGAAGAGTTCGGTGGACCTATTTACGAATATAGAGAGCAGAGAATAAAGTTACAGGATGGGAGTACAAGAATCCACACTGAGTGACTACTCATGACAATTTAGTAAATCTGTATGTGGGAAGAAATAAGAAAATTAGATCTCTTTTTTTTTTTTGTCACATACAGGGACTTGAACTAGGTATATAACATTTTTCTCTCATTGGCTGGCACTCTGCTACCTGAGCCACTCCTCCAACCCCAGATCATTTTTGTTAGGTTCCTGAGAAAGAAACTGATGATAAGCAAACTATGATTAAGGGTTAATTCAAAACCATCTCTTCTGGGGTATGGCCAAGAATAATCACCCTGTATCATCTGTCCAAGGCCTTTCAGAATCCGAAAGGGCTTTCTGGACCATGAGAGAGTTGTGCTTCATTTAATGCTGCATGTAGTCTATTGTCTTTTCAGTCTTTGGGTCTGGTCGTGGGGCCTGAACTCTGGCCTGGGCGCTGTCCCTCAGCTCTTCAGCTCAAGGCTAGTGCTCTACCACTTGAGCCACAGCACCACTTCCGGCTTTTTTCTTTTTGCTTATGTGGTGCTGAGGAATCGAACCCAGAGCCTCATGCATGCAAGGCAAGCACTCTACCACTGAGCTAACTTCCCAGCCCCTGTCTTTTCAGTCTTTGAAAAATATTTTAAAATCCTGGTTACCATAGCATTCATCTTTCACCATATCTCTGCCATCCCAACTTTTTGTATAACTTGTGGTGAACAATATATTTTTATTTGCATTGCTGCCCTTGTAGATAGAGACAGAAATCCCTTCTAGATGTTCTGTTTCACTTGTTTTTGTCTACCTTAAGAAGTAAAAATTAATGATCTCTACTTGAAAGAAGAGCCAGCTAAAATTATATTCCAAAATAAATAGGACATGTTCATATTTATGTGCATTTAACTTTATTCACGCTGATTTAAAATAGTTTTACTCCACACCAGAAGGTCAAGATTTTAAGCAACTGTTTTTTGTCTTCCTCTTTGCTCCAAATTCTTTTGTTGTTTTTTATTGTTTTTGTTGTTGTTGTTGTCATCGTCGTCGTCGTCGTCGTCATGGGGCGTAGGCACTGTCCCTGAGCTCTTTTAGGCTTGATCACTTTGAGCCATAGCTTCACATCTGGACTTTTGGTGATTATTGGAAATAAGAGTCTCATGGACTTTCCTGGCTGGCTTTGAACCATGATCCTCAGATCTCAGACTCTTGAATAGCTATAGGTGTGAACCTCCAGTGTCCCGCTTCAATTCTTTGTTTTCTTACAGTTTGATTAGTAGGGACTGATAGCAAGCAAAGGGAAGAAACTGAATTTGAATTTCAGCTTAGTCCTCTGCTGAGTCGGAAAGAGGATATTATGGGATAGGGCAGTACAATCTCTTGAGTAATGGAGAACCCCTCCCCCTAGTTAAATCCCCTCAACACTATTTCTGTCAGTAATATATCCACCATCCTCTTAGCTGGACCTTGATCATGTTAAACTTCTAGAAGGTGGAATGGGTGTGGCAGAGCAGTGCAACTTACATTCTGGCAGCCTGGGAACAGAGAAAGAATGTCCATATTATGAGGCTCCCTCTTCTTTCCCCCCTTTTTGCATCTGGTCCTCCAGCCATTGGATGCTACCCACATTCAGGGTGAGTCTTCATCTTCTATTTAATGCTCTCTAGAAGCAACTTCATACACAAACCCAGAGGCATGGTTTACTAATCTCGTAGATGCTTCTCAATGCAATGAGATGAACCATCATACATCTAAGTTCATACAACTTCAAGCACATTTAACTCTTCCTTTCCTCCTAAAACCTGCTTTCATTGTTTAAACCTTTTGCTTGGCCAGGTGCTGATGGCTCATGCCTTTAATACTAGCTACACAGGAGGTTGAGATCAAAGACAGCCCAGACAGGAAAGTCTCTCAGACTCATCTCCAATTAACTACTAGTAAATTGCAAGTGGAGATGTGGCTCAAAATGGTAAAGCACTAGCCTCAGGGCTCAGGCCCTGAGTTCAAGCTCCATGACTGGAAGGGAGAAAAAAAAAAAAAGAAAACACCTTTTGCTTATTCTACACTTCCTTGATACTGGGATACTGGAAATTCCTGCCTTGCTGTTATTCTTGTTCAGGGCAGTAAGCCCTCAGAACTTGTGAAAAACTGTGACTGTTAGGCTGATAGTGTCCTTGCAGTGTATAAGCACAATCATAGTGCCTGTGGAATGACCTGGGTCATAGGTGCGAGTGGAACTTAGCCAAAGCAGATGAGGAAACAAATAGGGGAGGAGACTAGTGACAGTTGATGTGAAGAGGCCCAGGCTTGGGGCCAAGACCCTTGGGTCTTAGTCTGAGATCCTGTGTGTTTCTGACTGCAAGCACAAATGAGCTAATTTGCAGGGTGGCAAGGTAAGTGGGCACCCTGAGCAGGCGTACCCATCGGTCTGTGTGTTGTCCAGGGAAAGTCATTTAACCTTTTGTCTCAGAGTCTCATTTTCCTCATCTATCTATTCGATGAGGATTGTACTAGCTTCTTATAATACAGATAAGTCTTTTTGAAAAGTTGAAAGTGCTGTAGGATTAAAATAGCCTTATTAACCATGCCTGAACCTTATACTTTTTTTTTTTTTTTAAATTTTATTTTATTTTATTTGAGAACATACTGTACAGAGGGGTTACAATTACATGGGCAGGATAATGCATACATTTCTTACCAAGCATTGCAGCCTCCTCCTTTGTTTACCCTTCACCTCCCTTCCCAGCCTCCCCCCTCCCTCCCACCCAATCATACCCCCCCACCCACCCCCCCCACCGACATTGTAAAGCTGGTTTTGACATGACATTTTGTACTTCTCATTGTTGCAACAGGTCCACCTGAATCCTTAAACGACTTGTTTGTCCCCATCTCCTCCACATGTTATACTGACATCAAATATAGTGAAAGCGGGGGTTACACTGTGGGGGAGGGACATACAAAGCAACAAAGAAATAATCTTATAAATGCGTTAGAAATACATGCATGAAAGAAACAAAAACATTAAAATACATATTTGAGGTTTCGTTTTCCTAACATGAACCTTATACTTTTCTTTGCCAGTCCTGGGACTTGAACTTAGGGCCTGGCACTGTCTCTGAGCCTCTCTGTGTTCAAGGCTAGCATTCTACTACTTAAACCACAGTGCCACGCCTGCCTTTCTCTGTTTATGTGGTACTAAGAATTGAACTCAGGGCTTCATACATGCTAGGTAAGCATTCTACCACTAAGCCAGATTCCTAGACTGAACCTTATACTTTCATTTCATAAATGTGTAGAGATAGGAACTGTTTTGTGTGGTTTTTCTTTCTGCCTTAGCTGGATCTGTTTTCTGGTATTTATTTACAACTGAAAAGACAATTTTTCTTGCACTTGGCCTATACTCAATTATTTTTTCAGGTGTTAGTGTCAATACCATTCAGTTATTTGAACAGTTTAGTCACCTAACTTAGAGGTTTTTACTTTAGTGTTTGGCTCCCTGTTGGTGTTCAGGTATATGGGTTGTTCCTGGCTTTGCAGCATTCATTCATTTGTTTGTTCATTTATTTATTGTGCCAGTCCTGGGGCTTTAACTCAAGGCCTGACTTATGTCCCTAAGGTGTTGGTTTTTTGTTTTTGTTTTTGTTTTAGCGTTCTACCACTTGAGCCCCAGCTCCACCTCTGGCTCTTTGGTGGTTAGTTGGAGATCTTTCCTGCCATAGCTGGCTTTGAACTTTGATCCTCAAATTTTAGCTTTTTGATTAGCTAGGATTATAGGCAAGAGCCACTCATGTCCAGCAGCTTTGCGTCTTTTTAAAGGTGTTGTACAAACGGGCTACCATTTCAAAAGGCAGATAACGATTGCATTTCTTTTTTGGGGGGGAAGGGGTCCGGTCATGTGGCCTGAACTCTGGGCCTGGGCACTGTCCCTCAGCTCTTCAGCTCAAGGCTAGCGCTCTACCACTTGAGCCACAGCACCACTTCTGGCTTTTTTCTTTTTGCTTATGTGGTGCTGAGGAATCGAATTCAGGGCCTCATGCATGCAAGGCAGGCGCTCTACCACTGAGCCACCTTCCCAGCCCCTGATTACATTTCTTGTTTTGGACAACACCCCTTCCTTCACTTTCCCTCAATTTTCTCCTCCCATCCCTGCCCACAAGCTACATAGGTCATTTTCCACATAGTTTATTGTGCCCCCCCTTTTTTTTTTGTCAGTCATGGGCCTTGGACTCTGGGCCCAGGTGCTGTCCCTGAGCTCTTCAGCTCAAACCAAGAGCTCTACCACTTGAGCCACAGCGCCACTTCCAGTTTTCTGACAGTTAATTGGACATAAAAGTCTCATGGACTTTCCTGTCCAGGCTGGCTTTGAACCTCCATCCTCAGATTGCAGCCTCCGGAGTAGGCCACCAGTGCCCAGCTTGTACCCTTAAAAAATATTTTTATTAGCCTTAAGTAGTTGTACAAAGGAGCACAGTCCATCATCTTGATCAATGTCACCCCTTTCAGTATTCTCCTGTTAAAGGGATTTTAGATGTATGTTCCGTGACTTATGAATGCAGATTCTGTAAGACTTGTTCAAAATGGTGGGTGTGGTTGGCTATGGGGACCAGCAAGTGTGCTGGATTCAGTTCAGTAGAGCCTTTATAGCCCACTGGAGCCCCTGTTTGCCAGACCCCTATTCTGGGCAACTTGTGCCCATATATTACAAACAGGCATGTGGTTGGACCATTGGAGAGCTTTCTTTCTTTTTATTGTCAAGGTGATGTACAGAGGGATTACAGTTACATAAGTAAGATAGTAAGTACATTTCTTGTTGAACTTGTCACCCCCCTCCCTCATTTTTCTCCTACTCCCCCCCCCATCCCCTGGAGAGCTTTCTTAAGAAGCAAAACTGACCTTAAACCCTCCTCTTACCTCTGCACAGTGCCGGAAGCTGCCAAGTGATCCCCAGGAACCCACCAAGAAAAGCCCCAGGGGGGCTTCAGATTCAGGAAAAGAGCACAATGGAGTCAGGGGAAAGCACAAGCACCGGAAACCAACAAACTCGGAATCTCAGTCTCCAGGAAAATGCACAGACGGCCACGAAGAAGGTAGGCCTCCCCGCACAGGCCCCAGCCAACTAGGCTGAGCTCCAGAGGGATATTTGTGGCATTTTTGGTAGAGAAAAAAAACTCAGAGATTGACTGAAAAGCAAGCCTTCTTCACTGTTGGAAGAGAGATAGAATTGACCAAAAAAAAGAAGCCAGAGATTAGGGAGAAAGGAGCAGGGGCATATTCTTCCTCACACTATAATATTGCAGTGTGAAGACCAAAGGAGATGGTTTGAAGACAGACAAGTGGCAGTCCTACAACAGAGTTGCCACCTTATTTTGTAGAAGTGGATCTAGGCTTAAAGAAGCAGGTATATGAGCATTCAGATTTTTTGGGGGGGGAGGGTCCGGTTGTGGGGCCCGAACTCTGGGCCTGGGCACTGTCCCTCAGCTCTTCAGCTCAAGGCTAGCACTCTACCACTTGAGCCACAGCACCACTTCCAGCTTTTTTCTTTTTGCTTATGTGGTGCTGAGGAATCGAACCCAGGGCCTCTTGCATGCAAGGCAAGTGCTCTACCACTGAGCCACCTTCCCAGCCCCAGATTTTTTTTAAAAACAAAACAAAAAAACATTCATTAGTCTGACGCTGAAGGCTCACGCCTGCAATCCTAGCTATTCTGGAGGATAGCGGTTTGCAGCCAGCCTGGGCAGGGAAGTCCCTAAAATTCATCTCCAATTAGCCACTAAAAAGAAGCCCGAAGTAAAGCCTTGGCTCAAGTGGTAGAGTGCTATTCTTGAACACAAAAGCTCAGTGGCAACACCCAGGCGCTAAGTTCGAGCCCCAAGATCAGCAAGCTTGTGCGCATGCATGTGCACGCGCGTGCGTGCACGCACACACACACACACACACACACACACACACAGAGGAACACGTAGGAACATGAGCATGGGAACTTGCATTCTCACTTGCTCCTCCACCTTCATGTATTCATTACGCTATTTTCTCTACACTTGGCTATCTTAAAAAAATTCCATTCTGAAAAAAAATGACTAGCTAGCTACTTAGCTACAAGAATTTAAAGATATCCTAAACCCTTATTATTACCATTTAGAGACACAGAAGATGTTTTTGGTAAGTGCTTGTCTTGCGCGTTTGGCCACAGATGGTCCTTTAGACACCTCGTCAGGGAAACAATCGGAGACAGTCCTGACTACAGTAGCCTATGTTCATGGTCTTGCCCATCTGACATGACCTGTTGCTTCTAGTATGCTTTTTGTGTGCTTGTTTGTTTGTCCATCATGGGGCTTGAACTCAGGTGCCTAGCGCTGTCCTTGCATTTGTCAGCTCAAGGGGAGCACTCTACTGCTTGAGCCATAGCGCCACTTCCAGTTTTCTGGTGGTTTATTGAAGATAAGTGTTTCATGGACTTTTCCTGCCCAAGCTGGCTTTGAACTGCAATCCTCAGATCTCAGCCTCTTGAGTAGCTAGGATTAAAGGTGTGAGCCACTGGTGCCAGGCTTGCTTTTTTTTTTTTAAGTTGTTATTATAAAGGTGATGTGCAGAGGGGTTACAGTTACATGAGTTGGGGGTTACAGTACATGAGTCAGGTAGGCAATCTCTCTCTCTCTCTCTCTTTCTCTCTCTCTCTCTTTCTCTCTCTCTCTCTTTCTCTCTCTCTCTTACTCTCTTTCATTCTTTCTGCCAGTCTTGGGGCTTGAACTCAGGGCTTGGGTGCTGTCCTTGAGCTCTCCAGCTCAAGGCGAGCGCTCTACTACTTGAGCCACAGCACCACTTCCAGTCTTCTGGTGGTTTATTGGAGATAAGAGTCTCATAGACGGGGCTGGGAAGGTGGCTCAGTGGTAGAGAATTTGCCTTGCATGCATGAGGCCCTGGGTTCGATTCCCCAGCACCACATAAGCAAAAAGAAAAAAGCCAGAAGTGGCACTGTGGCTCAAGTGGTAGAGTGCTAGCCTTGAGCTGAAGAGCTGAGGGACAGCGCCCAAGCCCAGACTTCCCGGCCCACGACTGGAACCCCAAAAAAAGAGTCTCATCGACTTTCCTGCTCAGGCTAGCTTTGAGCCTCGATCCTCAGATCTCAGTCTCCTGAGTAGCTAGAATTACAGGCACGAGCCACTGGTGCCCACCAAGAATACATTTCTTTTTGGGCAATATCACCCCTTCCCTTGTTGTCTTCCAGTTTTTCTGTCCCATCCCCACCCATAAGTTGTATAGTTAATTATCAACATAGTGTCTAGTGAGTACCACTACTAGTCAGTCTTTTATATTTTTTATTTTTATTTTTTTGTTGGTCATGGGGCTTGAACTCTGGGCTTGGGCGCTGTCCCTGTGCTCTTCAGCTCAAGGCGAGCGCTCTACCACTTGAGCCACAGCGCCACTTCCTACTAGTCAGTTTTTAAAGAACAGTTTTTTCCAGGCACCAGTGGCTTCAATTAACCACTGGGGAAAAAAAATCCAGAGGTAGAGCTGTGGGTCAAGCAGGGGAGTACCAGCCTTGAGCAGAAAAGCTCAAGGACATCTTTCAGGCCTAAGTTCAAGCCCCAGGACTAAAATCAAAAAATGAAAAGCAGTTTTTCTGTGTCCCCAGCTCCCTACATCTGGCTTCCTGCCTCACTAAGATTCACTGATGTTGCGTTTATCTGAGCAACTTCATGCAGGAGCCAGGCTTTCTACTTTCTGGCATACTGTCAATTGATTCTATGTAGTGCCTTTTTTATGTCAGCAAAAATGACCCAACTCCCAGTTTTTAAAATCCTTCAGGAAATGCTCATTCTCCAAAAAGAGGAAGGCATGTGATAATAGCATGAAGGGAGTCAATTGGGATAAGTCAGGGTGGCCATGGGGTCACAAACCCTCTAGTTTTTCCCAATTGTACCTTTCAGGTGGGCTTTCTGATTGGTAGACTCTAATTGTAATATTTCTGCTTTCTGCCCCTAAACCACACATCACTCCTTGGGAAAGGTTCCTTGGAAAAGAAAGCGAAGAGCAGTTTCCGTGACTTCATCCCTGTGGTTCTGAGCACTCGGACACGCAGTCAGTCTGGTGAGTGAGACTAAGGCAATGACTTGTCTTGGCAACTCCTATGAAAAAAAGAGATGGACATCTGGTTGAATAATTTTATCATTGGTCCAGGAGGAAATTTGGGAATTTTTTTCACTATGTCAAGATGCTGGGCTCCTTGCAGAGGCTAGAGAACCTGAGGTGGAGGCAGAGGGCATTGCCCACAATTTTAGGATTATTTGCTTAGATTTTCAAAGCAGAGAGAGATTTGACGACTTATTGGGAGGCAATGATGAAAAGAGAAAAAGCCTTTGCCTAAAGAAAATTGATAATATGCCAGGCTTTACTGAGACTCGTCTTAGGCACAGACATTTAATCTCTGGGCCTCAGTCTTCTTATTTTATGAAATAGAAATCATCAAAATTAGAAAAGCTGCCAGGCACAGGTGTCTCACACCTATAAGCCTAGTTATTTCATGAAGTTGAGATCTGAGAATTGTGGTTTGGAGCCAGCTAGGGCAGATAAACCAGAGAGAGACTCTTATCTCCACATAACCAACAAAAAACTGGAAGTGGAGGCATGGCTCAAGGGGTATAGTGGAAAAAAATGAGCAAGAGCATCAGGCCTTGAGTTCATGCTCTAGTACCAGCAAAAACATTTTTTTGGAAAGGCTACTGAGTTGTTAGGGCCAGCAGTATCACTTTTGGCCCCTTCAATTTGTGTTGGTCAGTCCTTGAAATTTAAAAATGATAGTCCTGCCTAGCCTCCATGTCTTATGCTAGCTCCATGTTGGTATGGAAGGACAGAGATAGTTGTCCCAATTCACCAAGATTTCCATGCAAATTGGATGTGATGGCCAAACAGGGCCTAATGTAAGCTCAAATCATCTGACATTCTGTCAACTGGCACTGTAGCACATGACAAATGCAGTGGTAATTGAGGCTCATTAATGATGGCCTGGAGGCCTCAAAAAGTTCTGAAGTGTCCTCTGAATCATCAAAGAGTGATAAAGTTACCAGTCAGTCCCCTTTTTGTTAAACATATTGTGCACTATATTTGATTGTTTGGAAATTGGTGATTCTTGTGTGATTTCTACAGTGATTCTATATTAACCAGACTATATGCAGAGCACTTCATTCCCTTCTTGGTTCATATAATGGAATAGATAGTTGCTACCCAAAGCTTTGGTCAGGGGCTGGGAATGTAGCTTAGTGGTAGAGTGCATAGAGTACCACATAAACGGAAAAAGCTGGAAGTGGTGCTGTAGCTCAGGTGGTGAATGCTAGCCTTGAGCAAAAGAAGTTCAAGGACAGTGCCCAGGCCCTGAGTTCAAAGCCACAGTAATGGCCAAAAAAAAAAAAAAGCTTTGGTCAACAGTGGTTCTGTTTGTCTCAAGCTATTTATTTCTTCTGACCTTGCTGAGGTCTCTGGGAATTGTTGAAGTAGCCAACTGGGCTTTGAGAGAAAGATGCTAGTGTTGCTTCTAAGGAGAGTGTTGCACTGGGGCTGGGCCTGAAATGGTACAGTGGTGCTTGCTGCTTGGCCTAACAAGTAGGAGGCCCTGAGACCTGCAAAAAAAAAAATTCCTGTAGTGCAAAGCCAGACTAATTTAGGATTGCACTTTTGTTGTTAGCAAAAGAGAGTGGGGAGAGAAAATGGCCTCTTGGCAAGGTGGCCCAAGAGAATAGGGAAGGTGCTGTATGTCCTTGGATGGTCAGGAGTGGAAGAAGAAGTGCATGCCCAGTGGTGAGGAACAGCTGCAGCAGCAGGTGAGAGAGGTCCAGGGGAAAAAACTACCCCTGAATTCTCTGCAACTCAGTAAGAGATCAGGTCAGTTTAAGGGAAGAGAGCCTACTGTATTGTATTTGGATATGGCTAAGCCAGACTGTCACAGGAAAAGGATTCCTTGATCTACTATTCCTAGGACTTGTTTTATATTGAGTCTGCTGGAACTGAGCGACTTTTAGTGAAACTGATGGTGCCACGAACTGAGCACTGCTGGAGAGTGATACCAATCTGTCCTCCCTTTCCCTCTATTCAGTCCTTGTTTCCCCAAACAGTAGGGACTTGTGGTTCTCTCCTGCCTTTTACACAATGATTGGCTCCTAGTAAAGCATGAAGCAAAGGTTTATGAAATGAATTCAAGTGCTATAGCATCATGGATGAGTAAGGGTGTGTTTTCTTGGTACTTGACTCTATAAAGATGCCACATGAGCTCTAGAACTGTCCTATGAAGTCAGCCAGGGGAAAATAGTTATCCTCATTTTATAGATGAGGAAACAGCAGTAAAAAAAACTTTCCTAAAGCATTCAACTAATAACGGAACCTAGACCTTCAAAGTCCTGGTCAAGGGTACTGTGTCAACACAATATTTAATCCTTTGAAGAGGTACTTGACCATCTTCTGTATATCTTGTCCACAGGAAGCATCTGTAGCTCCTTTGCCGGTATGGCAGACAGTGACATGGGAAGCCAGGAAGTCTTCCCCACAGAGGAGGAAGAAGAGGTGGCTCCCACCCCAGCTAAGCGTCGAAAGGTGAGAAAAACCCAACGAGATACCCAGTACCGCAGCCATCATGCCCAGGACAAGACCTTGCTGAGCCAAGGCCGCAGACATCTATGGAGAGCCCGAGAGATGCCTTGGAGGACAGAGGCTGCCCGGCAATTGTGGGACACCAATGAGGAGGAAGAAGAAGATGAGGAGGAGGGCTTGGTAAAGAGGAAGAAACGGAGACGGCAGAAGAGCCGGAAATATCAGACTGGCGAGTACCTGACAGAACAAGAAGAAGAGCAGCGGCGGAAAGGGAGAGCAGGTAAGGCTGGCCAAGGGGCTCCTGTCCCCATAGTGTGATTGCCTTCAGGGAGCCATCAGGCCTCCCTATGTTTACATCTCTATACCAATCAAAAGCTGCTGGACCCATACAGATCTGCTGCTGGGATCTCCGGCTGCCAAAATGGTCCCTCAAATTCAGCCCCCGCATTTGGCTTTGCATTGAGATGAAATTAATTGGGCCGGACACCGGTGGCTCATGACTGTAATCCTAGCTACTCAGGAGGCTGAGACCTGAGAATCACGGTTCAAAGCTAGCCTGGGGAAGGAAAAGCTGTAGAAGCTCATATCTCCAATAATCCACCAGAAAACCAGAAGTGGCACTGTGGCTCAAACAGTAGAGTGCTCACCTTGAACTGAAGAGCTCAGGGACAGCACCCAAGCCCAGAGTTCAAGCCCCCTACCACCACCACCAAAAACAAAAGAAATTAGGTGGGACTGACGTATGGGTAAACTGACTATATGAAAGCCTAAGCCTTTTGGTTTTCTTATTTTTTTCTTTTTTGGGGAGAAGGTAAATATTGGGGATTGAATGAAAGTTCTCACACCTTCTAAGTAAGTGCTCTTCTGCTTAAGCCCTTTTGCCTTAAGGGTTTTCCCCCCATATATGGCCTCATGGTTTTTTTAGGGTTGGCTTTAAATTATAATCCTCCCAACCTCTACTTCCCAAGTAGCTGGGATTATAAGCATGAACAATCCCATTCCTCTTCCCTTTTGGTTTGTAGACATTGCTTCTCTTCTTGGCTTACAGACATTTGAACCTGTGAGCCAAATCATAGTGATTTCCTTGGCATGTGCCAAGCCAGCACCATACCAGGGAATTCTCTGATTAGCTTGAGGGAGTCATGTTTTGGGAAATGACAAGTCCTCTCTCCTAGAATCTTACATTCAAGAAGAAAGAGGGCATTGCCTGCCTTTCATGGGATGTCTCCATTCCTAAACTGAAAAGAAGTACAATGATTCCATTAAACTAATTTAAAAAACCTTCAAATTGGGCTGGGAAGTTGGCTCAGTGGTAGAGCGCTTGCCTTGCATGCATGAGGCCCTGGGTTCGATTCCTCAGCACCACATAAGCAAAAAGAAAAAAGCCGGAAGTGGTGCTGTGGCTCAAGTGGTAGAGTGCTAGCCTTGAGCTGAAGAGCTGAGGGACAGCGCCCAGGCCCAGAGTTCAGGCCCCATGACCGGACCCAAAAAAACAAAAAAACAAAAAACAAAAACCTTCAAATAGAAGTGGGAGCTGGGCTGGGCGCTGGTGGCTCACGCCTGTAATCCTAGCTACTCAGGAGGCTGAGATCTGAGGATCGCGGTTCAAAGCCAGCCCGGGCAGGAGAGACCATGAGACTCCTATCTCCAATAAACCACCAGAAAACCGGAAGTGGCGCTGTAGCTCAAGTGGTAGAGCGCTCACCTTGAGCTGAAGAGCTGAGGGACAGCGCCCAGGCCCAGAGTTCAAGCCCCACGGCCGACAAAAAAAAAAAAAAAAGAAGTGGGAGCTGGGCATCAGGCGGCTCACACCTGTAATCCTACCTACTTAGGAGGCTGAGAACTGAGGACCATGGTTCAAAGCCAGCCCAAGCAGAAAATCTGTGAGACTTATCTCCAATTAACTACCAGAAAACTGGAAGTAGCGTTGTAGCTCAGTGATAGAGTGCTAGCCTTGAGTAAAGAGCTCAGGGACAGTGCCCTGGCTCAGAGTTCAAGCCCCACAACCAACAACAACAAAAAAGAAGTGAGCACATTTTTCTTTCTCAGTTAAAGGCACAAAGATTATTCAGCAGTAGAAAGCAAATGCTTTGCCACTTGGGCCATACTCTTGTCCCTTTTTGCCTTAGTTATTTTTCAAATATAGTCTCTTGCTTTTTGCCCAGGGACCACTCTTGGACCTCAATCTTCTTTACACCCTTGGCTCCCTGGTAATTGGGATTAGAGGTGTGAGCCACTATGCCTGGCCCTGAAGTGAAGCTTCAAGGTGACACAACGTGGCATCTTATTTGTTGGACCTGAGCTGGGGAAACAGGCAGTCCAAAGAGAAAGCCAGAATTATTTGAGCACATCAAATGTGATCATGGAGGCACAAACAGTCACATGAAGCTAATCACAGACTGCTTCACTAAGTATGGTTCAGAACCATTTCTTTTAGTGGATTTCGAATTGAGTCAAAAGCACTTCTCTGGATTCTGTCAGAACACTGTCTGTCCATTTCATTCTCTGACCTCTCCCCTTGAAAAGCAACAATTGATTGTTTCCTATAATGTATTCATACTGAGCTGCTGGTAAATATCCACAGTCCCTGTATTAGCTAAAATGGACTAACCTTACATTGAATGGGTAGTAGATTCTAGGTTTGCTATAATGCAAAGAAGGTTTATCCTCATTTCCGGCTCTGTTTAAGTGGAGATATCTGTGACACCAATCCCTATGCTCAAGAGAGTAATTGAGCTCATTTTCATCAACTGTGTGAGTGGGGCAATTTTCCCTTTCTTTTACTAGAGCCATAATGGATTGGTCATGAATGAGTTGTCAAACCATTGGCCCAGCCACTTGTGTTAGGATGAAGAGGAGCTTTTGAATCATCTGATTTTTTTTTTCTATTGAAGGCCAGTTTCTGAGCTTGGACACTTCTTATGGAGCAATTGGCTCTTGGAACCTGAAGGATCTTTGCAGTTGCTGCATCCTATTTGCCACCCAATGCAGAAGTAGAGAGGGTTCTTCACAGCATTTGTAACAGAGTGCTAGCTAGCTTTTGCTTGAGCACCTCCAGTTACGGGGAGAACACTTGTTATCAGGTACCTGTTTGATCTAGGGACAGCTCCAATTGTTGAAAAGTTATTCTCCCACTGTGGGGTTTTTGTATTGAAGTCTCTGGCTTTGCACATGATTTGATCACTTTCCTCCAGATTCGATGATAGCTTCTTTATGTGAGAATAGCTTAATAGCCATATTTCTCCTCAGAAAGCTCCAGACCTACCTACTTCTACCTGTCTGTCAGGATAATGTCAAAGAAGCAGAAAGTGACCAAAGTGACCTGTCTTTCAGGACAATATCAGAGAAGCAGAAAGTGACTCTTCTCCTGTCTGAGCCTAGTCACTTTTTTTTTTCACACTGGGATTGGCTGTCTCCCTTATTTACCTGTGCAGGGGCCCAAAGTAACCACAGCTCACTGAACTGAGCATTATTTGCAGGGGGTGGAAGTGGGGGGGGGGGGCACCAATCCTGGGGCTTGAACTCAGGGTCTGGGTTCTTTCACTGAACTATTTTACTCAAGGCTATTTTACTCTACCATTTGAGCCACAGCTTCACTTCTGGGTTTTTGATAGTGTAGTTAGAGATAAGAGCCTCACAGGGCTGGGAAGGTGGCTTAGTGGTAGAGTGCTTGCCTAGCATTCATGAAACCCTGGGTTTGATTCCTCAGTACCACATAAACAGAAAAAGCCAGAAGTGCCACTGTGACTCAAGTGGTAGAGCACTAGCCTTGAGCACAGAGAGGCTCAGGGACAGAGCCCAGGCCCTGAGTTCAAGCTCCAGGACTGGGAAAAAAAAAAAAAAGAACTTCACCGAGTTTCCTGCCCAGGCTGGCTTTGAACCATCATCCTTAAGTCTCAGCCTCCTGAGGAGCTAGGATTACAGGTGTGAGCCACCAATACTGGCTTGGAGCATCCTAATTTTAAAGTAGTCTGCTGCACTCACACATGTGTTACATCTACTCCCTGTTCCATTGTGTGTTACCATAAAGCCCTATTTCTCTGCAACTGACTAAATTCCAGAGCCTGCCCTGCCCTGCCCTGCCCTGGGTAGATGAAGTAGAGGTTATTTCTTTTCCTGTGCACTAAACACTGCCATATGGCTCCTCATGCTTCCTGAGGTCCTCCTAACAGTTCTGTTCCTTCCTCTTTTGCCTCAGCTCAAACATGTTGTGTCAAAAGCTCTGGATTAGTGTTCTAGACTAGTGGTCTGGAAGTATCATTACAAACCATCTAGCACAGCAATTTTTAGACAGGCTGCAGACCCACTAGTGGACTAGGTTTACTTGGAAGAAAGTAGTTGTAAGACAGCTGGCCTCTGAAGAGCTGTGCATAAGTTACAGCCAATTCTTCATACTGGAATCATGATTCCCACATCTGGATCTGTCCTTGGCAATGGCTCCCATAAAATCCATGTCAATTTTGTCAGTCTTAGAAGAGCTAGCTCTTGGATCTCAATCCCTTCATTTCACAAATGGGAGAAACTGAGGCAACAGTTAATTCACTAAACAGACATACCGATCTTTTGCCATATGTTATGTCTAGTGTTCAGAACTGTGGCTAGAATTAGAGCTGTTGCTGGTATGTTCCATTGCCTACCAGCTAAGTAGGTCCATGGTATCATCTGGTCTTAGGAAGATTCTGTTGCTTTGATCTTTATGTCCTTACACAGTGGCAAACAGGGCAGTCAGGTGGGGCAAGCCTTCTACCATGTTTTTCCTGCTCCAGTGTGCTAGATAATTAAATTTGGCAGAGCCACTAAATTTATTTGCATTTGAGGAAAAAAAGATGAAAGGATTAGAGAAAATGATGAAAAGCAATTCCGATTTTTTTTTCTGGGTTATAGGAAAATCTTTTATAAATTGCCCTCATTTGGGGAACAGCCAGATGGCCTGCCCCCTGCTGGCAGGGCTGGGAGCTGTCTCCTTGTCCACGTGGGACTTGGATATTGAAGTACAATGTCAACTCAAGAAGCATTTAGTGGATTAATCACCACTGGACTATATACTGATAGCTAATAGTTACACAACTTTGCCCAGGGATTTGAATCCCCAGTGTCCTGTGGTTCATCATAGAGGCTGGTACTGCTTTTCAGTGTTCCATTTCTTTGACAGTGATTCTTGTTTCTTGTTTAGATTTAAAGGCTCGTAAGCAGAAGACTTCCTCCCCAAGTTCAGAGCACTGCCTCAGGAACAGGAACCTTCTGTTGTCCAGCAAAGCCCAGGGGATCTCGGATTCACCAAATGGTTTCCTCCCCAATAACCTAGAGGAGCCAGCCTGCCTTGAAAATTCAGAGAAGCCATCAGGAAAACGAAAGTGCAAGACCAAGCACATGGTAAACGTCTCAGAAGAGATAAAGGTGTGTGGCTAGCAAAGGGGAACTATCCAGGGGAGAGCATGAGCCTGAGAAGGGGCTGATTTTCCACCAAATCCCTCTATCAGGAATCTTCTCAGAGATGAAAGAGGGAGGGATTGGATGAGAGGATCAAATCAACTTTGATTTATTAAAGTATTTTAAACTATTTCTAGAGTTAGTGGGTAGATTGGAAGAAAGGGAACTAAAGTTATATCTTACTACGTAGGGTAGCACATGCTGGCTTTTTCTCTACATTGTGTCTCCTTTGAGTTAAGGAAGAGTTAAAGTATATGGCAGGATGTTAGTCTGAATAGCTGTCAACATCCCATAAAGCTGAGCAGCGGTGGCTCATGGCTGACCTAGCTACTCAAGATGCTGAGATCTGAGAATCACCATGTAAAGCCAGACTGGGCAGGAAAATCTGTGAGACTCTGATCTCCTGTAAACTACTCAAAAAAGTCAGAAGTGGAGCTGTGGCTCAAGTGGTAGAGTACTAGCCTTGAACAAAAGAAGCTCAGGGACAGTGCCTAGGCCCTGAGTTCAAGTCCCAGGACTGGCACCAAAAAAATCAAAACAAACATCCAGTCACGAAACTTTTGTTTGGGTTTAACTTACATGGAGCTTTCTGAGTCAAACAAGGTAAAAAAAAATAACTTGTAGAAGCCAGGTTTGATGTCCAGACAAAAAGGTTGCTTGAGAGTACAGTTGAAGCAATTCTTCTACTCTCCGGCCTGTTGTGTTTGTTAGAGGCCTAGGAGTGATTCAGTGGACACTCATCAGTCAGCCAAGCCGATTCCTATGACCCCTCTTCAAATCACCATCTCATTTGGGTCTGATGTTTCTGGCATTAGTACAAAAAAGACAGAACTCACAATGGGTGAGCTTTACATTTGAAAGAAGTAAAGATCCAATGTGTACTCATTTGTCATTGACAAGAGAGAGAGCTAGATAAAGATAGATACAGAGACACTGACAGAGACAGAGACCATATTGAGCTGGTTTGGATGGTTGTGAGTCTTCCTACTCTCCAGCTTCCAGCAAGGATTCTTGAACGTTTCTGACAAAAGATAGGTGCTTGTCTCCCTCTCCTTTCCCCTTGCCTCCGCCTGGAGCCTTGTTCAGCTCAGACAAGGTACTCAAGTCTATTTGCTCATCTTTGAAACTGGATTTCATATTCTGTGCCCTTTCAGTCTCAGAAGGGTACTTGGGTGAACAAAAGAGGAAATGTCTGTGACAGTCTTTCATAACTGTAAAGTGTTATTCAGTGGTTGGTGTGTATCCTCATGCTTCAGGCCCAGACAGGAACTGGGGTACAGAGATCCAGCATGGTCTAGCATGGCCTGGTATTCATTCCCTCTGACTCACTGGGTGGGAGAAGGACTGGCCTAATAAAAGAGCTGATAACCCAACTCTGTGCTTAGTGCACAGTTCAAATTGGGAGTCTTTATTCATGCAGTGGTCTTAGAGGTTGGCATGTATATTGTCCTTATTTTACAGTAAGGAAACCGAGGCTCAGAGTGGTTAAGGGACTTAAATGAAGTCCCTCAATGGTTCTGATGGTTAGTTAGGACTTCGAGCAAATCTGTTTACCCCCAGAGCTCCAATCAGTCCATGTGCTTTGTAGGCTTTGAATGGGTGGTTTCTGTCTGTATCCAGAAGATATTGGGACAGAAAACATTACAACTCTGAGAAGCTCTGGCAAAAGCTGTGAGTCCTAGGCTCTTGGCCCCTCCTCTTCTTTGGACTCTTAGATGGCCCCATTCCACACAAGGGTAACTAGCTGCCTGACATTCAGCAGTGCACTCTGAAGCTTCTGTCTGGCTGTTCTGCCTGGTAGTACGTCCTCTGAAATGTTCCTCTTGGGGGAGAGTTTTCTCCTTCCCAGAGCCTCCCTTTTCCCCCTGTTTCTCTTTCTCTCCTAGTCACCACCACCTGCTCTGCTTGCTCCATGGCACAGGGCTTCATAGTGAGAAGCAGGTATGGAAATGAGGGAGAGATGGACAATTCTGCAATGCTAAATCAGAACTTTGGCTAAAGTCTTCTGCCTACAGAGGCTCAGAGCCAAGTGAGGGTGTCCCCTACTTGTTCTTGTTTCTCTCTCACTTGAGTCACCTCCCCCCTCCCTGCTCTCTGGTCACTCAAGCCCTCAGAAGAAGAGTCATTCTTTGGTTTCTGGCTTGGCTTATCAAAAGTCTGGGTATTTTACCCAGCATCTTTTAGTCCTTTGATTGTATATTCCATTCTCCTGATGATAAAGCAGCATTATAGCTGACTGTCAATGGCTCACACCTGTAATCCTAGCCACTCAAGGGAGAGATCCAGAGTATGGCAGTTTCAAGCCAGGCTGAGCAGAAAAAGTCTAAGAGCCTCCATCTCCAAAATAACCAGCAAAAATCTGAGCTGGAAACATGGCTCAAGTGGTAGAACTCCAGCTGAGCAAGCAAGCCAAACTATTGCAAGATCCTGAATTCAAACCCTAGTACCAGCACCTAAAACAGCATTATACTCTCATAGCCAATGCCTTCCTCCTAGGGATAGTATCTCTTTCTTTTTGGAATGGAGACTTATTGTGGTTTCTTATGAATTTGGGATTTACCAGAGGAAGCAAATGCCCTATGACCTTCATCTTTTTTTTCTGGTATTGCTCCTTTCTAGGTAACTTTTCTGGCTGTCCAGTGTTCTACACATAGCTGGCTTTAATCAAAGCATTACATATTTGTTGTGGTAATGTGCCGCTCAGCCCAAAGTCTAGTGTTGTAAGAAACAAAAGAGAAGCTGACAGTATGAACTGTGCTTCCAAGGAGTTTAAGAACTAGCAGGGGAAGTGGGTGTGGAGGCTAACGTACCAGTTCCTTGAGCCCAGGAGTTGGTAGGCCAGCCATGACAACATAGGGGAGACCTATCCTCAAAGAAAACTAAAATCAGCCAAATGTGGTATCTCATGCTTGTTATCCCAGATACTCAGGAAATGGAGAATGGAAGCCAGCTCTGATGAAAACTTAGCAAGACTCTATGTCAACCAAAAATCAGAGTGTAGCTTTGTGCTCCTGTATCTCAGCTATGCAAGAGGCATAAGTAAGAGGTCCAAGGTCAGCCTGGGCAAAAATTCTAGTCTGTACTTGAAAATAAATAAAAAAAAAAAAGGAGGCATGGCTCATGTAGTAGAGTCCCTGCCTAATATGCAGAGTTCAGACCCTAGTATTGCTAAAAATAAATAAATGATACAAAAAGTCCAGCAGAGGAGTCAAGAATTAGGTATGTAGTGGTAGAGTGCTTGCCTAGCATGCATGAAGCTCTGGGTTAGATTCCTCAGTACCACATAAACAGAAAAAGCTGGAGGTGGTGCTGTGGCTCAAGTGATACAGTGCTAGCCTTGAAAAAGAAGCTCAGGGACAGTGCCCAGGCCCTGCATGCAAGCCCCAGAACTGGGAAATAAAGAGAATTAGCTATGAAACAATGTAAGGAAATAAAGTGAGGCATCAGATGCCAAGTTATATGATTCAGAGTTTCTGTGCTGATTGTGCAGAAAGAGGGTAGAAGACATCAGAATGGTATCGAATTGTTTAGAAGATATGGAGTTTAGGTAAGATCTTCATGCTCTGAGGGATTGGGTTAAAATGTGTGTGTGTGTGTGTGTGTGTGTGTGTGTGTGTGTGTGTGTGTGTGTGTATGTGTATGCTCTATTGCAGTGTAACAAATCACCAAAGCATAGTGCTTAACATAACAATAAACATATATTGCTCCCACACCTTTTCTGGAGCTCAGGAATTCAAGAGCAATGTATGAGGGGGCCTTGCGTGGAGTCTGGCAAGTTTACTATCAAGGTGTCATCTAGGGCTACATCCATTTGAAGGCTCAACTGGTACTGGAAGGTCTGCTTCCAGCATAGTTCACTCACATGGATAGCAAGTCAGGGCTGGTGGATGGCCAGGAAGCCTTCTTCCCTTGCCCTGTGGCTCTCCCCAAATGGCTGCTTTAGTGTCATGCTATGGGCAGCCAGCTTTCCTCACAGTGAGTGATCCAGCAGAGAATAAGGCAGAAGCCAACAGTGTCTTTGAGGACCTGGCTTTGGAAGTCATGTGATGTCTCCTGTTAGATATGCTGTACAGTATAGGACAGGACACACAAAAGCATGGGGAACAGGAGTGAGGATCCTCAGGGCCCTCTTGGAGGGTGGCTACCACAATGTGTGCTCTAGCATCCAACGCTAAGCTTAGAGTTCAGTCATCCTAACTGCCCAGGTGCAGGGAAGGCACCTATTTGAGTCCTTGAGTATAGCTCCTCCCACACAATTCCTTCTTGTTCAGTTACCTGAAGGAAAGAGACAAGTCGCCTGCCCCACAGTTCTAGTATACTACAATAAGACAGCCATGGGAATATTTTAGATAACAGTTGGGGGAAAGCCAGGTGCCAGTGGCTCATACCTGTATTCCTACCTACTCAGAAGCTTGAGATCTGAGGATTGTAGTTCAAATCCAGCCTAGGCAAGAAAATCTATGAGACACTTATCTTCACTAAGCTACCCCAAAAGCCAGAAGGAAAAGAAGCTCAGGGACAGCATCCAGGCCTTGAGATCAAGCACGAAAAAAGGGAGGGTGGTGCCTAGGAGTCACTCATGAGTATAGAACTTTCCTGCCATGTGGTAGTTCTGCAACCTTAGTAATCATTCAGTATTTCAAAACACTGTGCACAGGAAAAAGTGAGGCCATGCCCCCATGTCTTGCTAGTTAATAGCAGAGGCAAGCTTCACACCCAGCCCTATCTGCTTTCCAAGCTGATTTGTTCCACTACCCCATGTGGACCTGACCATGATCTGAAGATGTGGTGTGGTGAAAGGTGGGAAAAACCCTATGAGGTTGGATGAAGGGAGGGGGGGAAATTGTTTGCAACAAGAGTGAAGGTATTAGGAACTGTGACTCTAGTCAGTTGTCTCTGCTGTTCTTGGTCGATAGTTAAGAGATACCAAGCTTCGGGCTGGGAAGGTGGCTCAGTGGTAGAGCACTTGCCTTGCATGCTCGAGGCCCTGGGTTCGATTCCTCAGCACCACATAAGAAAAAAGCCAGAAGTGGCGCTGTGGCTCAAGTGGTAGAGCGCTAGCCTTGAGCTGAAGAGCTGAGGGACAGCGCCTAGGCCCAGAGTTCAGGCCCCACGACCAGACCCAAAAAAAAAGAGATACCAAGCTTCAAGGAGGCTTATTCAAACCTCAATGAGTGAGTTTGAGGCATGTAGAGAAGACATGCAGTGTGCCTGGGAGAAGTTTGGATATCTTCTCCACTCCTGTTTTCTAGTCCCTTCATCATTTCATGGTTTATAGGACTGAGAATCTGATGCTTTTTGTACCTCTCCTCCTTTCCTCCCAACAGGCAGAAAAGCACAGGAAGCAGTGCTGGTCTTGGAAATACCTCTCATAGCTAGTGACTGGCCCAGCCTCTAGTCCCAAAGCTGACAGTGGTCTGGACCATCTGGGGTACTGTTAACCAAGTGAGATGGCCTAGGCAGGCGAGTGACATGGCTATGATGGATGAGACATGCAGCCTAGCCTGACCAAAGATTGCATCTATGCTTTCCAGGGCAAAGGTCGTTGGACCCAGCTGAAAACACGATCTGTCAAATCTCCCACCCCAGCAAAGCCCACAGAACCATGTATACCCTCTAAGTCCCGAAGTGCCGGCCCAGAGGAAGTCTCAGAGTCACCTACAGCTCGACAGATCCCCCCAGAAGCACGGCGGCTCATAGTGAACAAAAATGCTGGTGAGACCCTACTGCAGCGGGCAGCTCGTCTGGGCTATAAGGTAAGTGAGATCCCAGGGTGATAAGCTACATTGGCTGCCATTGGCCTGAATAGATCTCTGCACTGACCCCTGTGGGGCTTGTGTCAGGCTGGCCTGTCTCCATTGTCCACATCGCCTGGGAGGCTGCCTTGCTCCTTGTCTGATTTCAGTGTGTGGGAATGCAGGCTCATTTGAATGTCAGTTTGAGATGAATGTAATTGAGATGGTAACACAATATCATCGTCTACATTCCTAGACTAGGAAGTGGATTTTGGGATTTTTCATGTTGTCTTAAATTTCCCTGTGTGGTGGCTTTCTGACATGGAAGAGCAAGGGGTGATTATTGCTCCTGCTTCATCTCCTCCAGCTTCCTGGGTTTCAGGTAGAGGGATCAAGAGCACCTTCAAGGGGCAAAGCAGAGCTAACTCCACCTTGAACTGTCTTCCTTACACATGGAAATGAAAGCAAGAAAGGCAGCTGTCAGCTGACACCTCTTTTGCCATGTGAAGAGCTTTGATTTTAGTAAACCTGGAGAGGTAGATATTTATTTCTATTTTACAGATGAGAAAGCTAATGATATAGCCAAGTCTATGAATATGTGTCTTCATGCAAACCAGAGTTTTTTGATTGTCAAGTGCCAGTGAATTTAATCATCTAGCATGATTGGGTTGTATTGGCACACAATTCTGTTCCTCACTTTCTGTTGATATGAACTCCCTTGACCATGTATCTTTGTCCTCCACCTTGATGATTTCCCCCTAGCATGTAGTTACTGAGTTACAAACTATATTGCCCTTTCAAGACCTTCCATACCTATAAGTGATATGTTTCAAGCCTGCCTGCCACTCCTAGCTAAGGTGGTCAGTACAGGAGAGCTGACAATGTCTCCCCCATCAAACACTTCATATTCTCTCTCTGTCTGTCTCTCTCTCGTTCCCTCCCCTCTCCTCTCCCTTCTCTCCTCTCTTCTCTCTCATTCTTTTTCCTTCTTTCTTTCTCTATTTCTCTTTCTCATCTCTTCCCTTCTCTTTTTTTCTCTTCCCTCTTTTCTTCCCTCCCCCTCCTCCCCTCCCTCTAGCGTTACTCCTCCCTCTCTCCTTCCTTCTATACTTCCCTCCAGTCTGTCCTTTGCTTCTTTCTTTCTTTCTTTCTTTCCTTCTTCCTTCCTTCCTTCCTTCCTTCCTTCCTTCCTTCCTTCCTTCCTTCCTTCCTTCTTTTCTTTCTTTCTTTCTTTTTTGGGTCCAGTCATGGGACCTGAACTCTGGGCCTGGGCGCTGTCCCTCAGCTCTTCACCTCAAGGCTAGCGCTCTACCAATTGAGCCACAGCACCACTTCTGGCTTTTTTTCTTTTTTCTTATGTGGTGCTGAGGAATTGAACCCAGGGCCTCAGGCATGCAAGGCAAGTGCTCTACCACTGAGCCACCTTCCTAGCCCCTCTTTCCTTCTTTCTTTCTTTCTTTCTTTCTTCCTTCCTTCCTTCCTTCCTTCCTTCCTTCCTTCCTTCCTTTCTTTTTCTTTCTTTCTTTCCTTCTTTCTTTCTTGTTAGCTGTGGGGCTTGAACTCTGGGCCTGGGTGCTGTCCCTCAGCTCTTCAGCTCAAGGCTAGCACTCTACCACTTGAGCCACAGACCCACTTCCAGTTTTCTGGTAGTTCATTGAAGGTAAGAGTCTCAGGGACTTTCTTGCCCAGGCTGGCTTTGAGCCGCGATCCTCAGATCTCAGCCTCCTGAGTAGCTTAGATTACAGGCATGAGCTACTGGCGCCTGGCCCTGCTTTCTTTTAAGATTTTTGTTAGCATATATTAATTGTTAAGAGGAGATGCATAGTGACATTTCCAAATTTGCATACAATGTACACCATCAATCTCACTCCCTCTCCCCTTCTCCCTTATCCCCCCTTCCCTCATTATATAAAACAATCTCAACAGGTTTCATTGTTATATTTTCACCCTTGTTCATGGTCTCCATTTACTCTCCTCCTTCCCATTGATACTTGTCCCCAACATAGCCTGTTTCCCTCTCCAGTGCATCTTTTTTTTTTTTTTTTGTGCCAGTCCTGGGACGTGAACTCAGGGCCTGGGCACTGTCTAAGTTCCTTTTGCACACTTTAGCCACAGTGCCACTTCTGTCTTTTTCTGTTTATGTGTTACTGAGGAATCAAACCTAGGGCTTCATGTTCACTAGGCAAGCTTCATGTACACTCTACCACTGAGCCACATTCCCAGCCCTCCAGGCATCTTTCTTTTTTTGGGGGGGGGGGGTCCGGTCGTGGGGCCTGAACTCTGGGCCTGGGTGCTGTCCCTCAGCTCTTCAGCTCAAGGCTAGCTCTCTACCAATTGAGCCACAGTGCCACTTCCGGCTTTTTTCTTTTTGCTTATGTGGTGCTGAGGAATCGAACCCAGGGCCTCAGGCATGCAAGACAAGCGCTCTATCACTGAGCCACCTTCCCAGCCCCCAGGGCATCTTTCTTGAACACAGTGTGGTGCCTGCATGATAGCCAAGGGAGACCTGAAGGGAGAGTGATGACTAATTTCTGTCCTCAAGGATACTTTTCTTTCACCAGAGAAAAAAATATGAAATAGGCAGCCATTAGAGGAGCAAAGAAGACCTTGCTAGAGGCTGTTGGGTGGGTAGGAGGAGTAGTCTGGGGCCTTGGGCAAGAGGTGGACATCTGCATTGGTAAGGATGGAAGCCTTGTGTTTTTCCCAGTGTGTCTCAGGTAAAGGCAGCAGGCCAGTGTCCGTACATTGGTAGCAGTGCCTGCAATAGGCACACAGTTGCTCTAGGTCAGCCAAAAGGAAGAGCTGGAGTGCCCCATACCAGAGATGGCTGATTCCAGTGCCTTAGCAAGTAACTTGTTTTCAAACCAGGTCACCCATAAGGCTGCCAGCTCCCCATCACAGCTTATTCACATCCTTATCCCACACTAGCTAGGGTGCTTACATTGCCTAAGTTCTGCCTCTGGTCATACCTGTTCAGCCCAAGGAAGGTTAGCATGAAAGTATGAATGAATGAGAACTGGATTGCACTTGGAACAATCCTGACTTAAGGGAAGGGCTGGAACTGATTTTCTGGCATGAACACTGTTCCTGCTGAGTCCAGCATCTAGGAATGGTACTTAAAACAATTATTTGCTCTTTGTTCTTGACTTCACATCAGCAGGTGTACTTGCCACCCTGTGTCTCAGTTTCCTACTCTGGGATTGGCTCACAAAGCTCAGAAAGATGAGGTTTGGGTATGTGAGGTTTGGGTGGGCAGGGAAGACTCTCTGAAGATCTCACCTCAATAACCACCATGTCCATGAGTGTTTTTGGTCATAAGAAATCTCTCTACATTACACGAGCATGGCCCAGAGCTGCGGTCCTGGCAATGGAGGATCAGAAGTAACTTTGCTGACAAAAGTTTGTGTGTGTGTGTGTGTGTGTGTGTGTGTGTGTGTGTGTGTGTGTGTGTGTGTGTGTGTGATATATTGAAAATTGAACTCCGGCCCACTCACATACTCAGCAAGTGTTCTACCACTTTTAAGCCATACCTGCATCCAATATATGTGTCAGCAGCTACCAAAGCTTCAGATCTAAAGACCCTGCTTTATTAGATTTTGTAGACATACTTGGTAACCCTTTGATGTTTAAAAAGAAAAAAAATTGTAAAGGTTTGGAAATACTGTATAGAAAACATGTGGACATTCTTTTTTGCAATCCTGGGGCTTGAACTCAGGGCCTGGGCACTGTCCCTGCACTTCTTTTGCTCAAGGCTAGCAATCTACCACTTGGCCACTGCCTTATGTGGTGTAAGTGGAGTCACTCTGTCCATCCCTGCCATTTTTCTGTTTATGAGGTAGTGAGGAATCGAACCCAGGGCTTCATGCATGCTAGACAAGCACTGTACCACTAACCTACATTCCCAGCCCCATGTGAAGATTTTCAAGATGTACCTTCCAGTCCTCCATATGAAGGGCAGGCTGTGAGACTCCTCAAGACATTTGGGGAGCTTTGAGTCTTAACTGGAATGATGTCAAGAATTTTCGAGCTCTCTTTGCTCACAGAGGTGTCTGTGTCCCCACAGGATGTGGTTCTCTATTGTCTCCAGAAGGACAGCGAGGATGTGAATCACCGCGATAATGCTGGCTACACGGCCCTGCATGAGGCTTGTTCCCGGGGCTGGACTGACATCTTGAACATCCTGCTGGAGCATGGGGCTAATGTGAACTGCAGTGCACAGGATGGCACAAGGCAAGAAGGGTGCTCCTCCTCAACACCCTTTCCCTTATTCCCGGTCCAATCCCCAACTTGTTAGATCTTGCCACAGCCTAGACCTTGGTAGCACGGCAAGTGGCAAGTTGCACAGAGCTCTTGCCAGGGAGCCTCTAGAAAGTCTTCTGCGGACTGAAGAACCAACTGGTTTCGAGCAGGAGCCAATGAGTTGCTTGATAGCTGGTCCATCTTGGCTCTAACAGGAAACTGAAGTGGTCCACAGCTCATCACATCCCCTCCAGCTATCACGAGAGAATCCACTCGGCCTTCCTTCCAGATTTGAATTTTCTTTTTTGGAAAGTGTTAGCAAGGATTTATTTTAGTAGAATGGGGTTAAAGTAGGGAGAGAAAAAAAGGGAAACATTCCTGTTCTCCATGCAGGAAATGGGAGTTTAAAGACTCAAAATAGCAGCTCTTAGCATAGCATTTATACTGTGAGCTAGACAAATAATACATGGTCATGTTATCTAGGCAACTCCCAATCCTTAGACAGTGGTTCTGGGTTAGATTTGATTTTTCTAATTTGAACTCTATGCACTTTAAAAAATATACCTTCTGTGTCTTAGAGATATTGTACATGTTCTCTGTTCTACTTCCTGGGTAAAACAGACGTGAATACCAAGTAGAAGGACCCAGACCAAAAGGCTTTGCCTGGCCACTGCCTTATGTGGTGTAAGTGGAGTTACTCTGCTCATCCCTGCCATTTGGAAGTGACCTGGATCTTCTATTTTTCCTCCTTGCATCTGCTTTAACTTTAGCTCTTTCATGGAGTGTTGACTACTAGACTCTAGAACCACCAGTGAACCCACACTGTGCCATAGGGATTGTCCCATGATGCAGAAGATGATAAGAGAGAGTAATGGGAAAGAGAAGAGGAACTGAGAAAGAAGGTAGTGGGCAGTTAGGATAGGTGGTTGTGGGCCAGAGGTGGCTGTCCTGTCCTGTCTTAGCCCATATTATTCTGAGATTGCCATAGAATCCTTTCATTCTTTTTCCTCAAGTAGAAGTATATGGCCCAGGTGCCCGGGTTCCACTTGGGTCCTATTATCATCACCCTCTGTAACTTCCACAGACCAGTTCATGATGCTGTGGTCAATGACAACCTGGAAACTATCTGGCTCCTGCTGTCCTACGGGGCTGATCCCACACTGGCTACCTACTCAGGTCAGACAGCCATGAAGCTGGCTAGCAGTGACACCATGAAGCGCTTTCTCAGAGGTAAGCATGGGTTGGACTGGCAGCTGGTGTCCTAGGGACTAGCCTCAGACACTGAATTTGTTTCCTCTGTACTGTTCAACCTATGGGGAGAGCAGAGGGTGATAGGAGATTTTGACTTTTGCTCAATCTAATGAAACTCTGCAGAATAGGCTTCAGGCTAGCAGATAGAAGGGCTGCCTTTCCTATTTTCCTCTCTTCAGTTCTAGGTTTCCAGCTCCCAAAGAAACTTTGGGATGTTCATTTATTCTGACCCAGGGATGATATTTGCCCCTTTAGCTGAACTGTCACCAGGAGTATACCTTTGTGGCTTCTTCCTACCTGCAGCACACACATGTACTGTCAAACTACATACAAGCCTTGTCTGTGCTTCACTGGATTCCTAGGAGAATGTGACGCTGTTGTGCATCCCAAGAATTTCAGCATGATAGAGCTCAACATGAAACTCTATCTGTCTGAACAACTACTCCTGGTTCCTCTCTGCACTAGATACTACCCTCTAGAAGGTCTTGGCAATCCCTGAGTTCAAGAAAAATCTCTGACTGCCTTAGGAAGCAAATAAACCCATTTCTGTACCTTCTTTAAAATTCCAAAGGGAATTTGAATGTTGAAATCATTTTTCTAGTAGTTAAAAAATTGGCACTGGGCACTGGTGGCTCATACCTATAAACCTAGCTACTCAGGAGGCCGAGATCTGAAGATAATGGTTTGAAGCCATACTGGGCAGGAAAGTTTTAAGACTTTTCTCCAATTAAGCACCACAAAAAAAAAATATCCAAAAATGGAGCTGTGGCTCATGTGTTAAAGCACTTGCCTTTGAGCAAAAAATATTCAGGGACAGCACCCTGTTCCTGAGTTCAAGCCCCAGGTCTGGCACACACATACAACAAAATGGAAATAAGCATCTTTCTCCCTTCTTTCTCTTAAGGATCTACTTTTCTTTTTTTTTTTTGGTTGGTCATGGGGCTTGAACTCTGGGCCTAGGTGCTGTCCCTGAGCTCTTCAGCTCAAGGCTACCACTTTGAGCCACAGCACCACTTCCAGTTTTCTGGTGGTTAATTGGAGATGAGTCTCACAGACTTTCCTGCCCAGGCTGGCTTTGAACTGCGATCCTCAGATCTCAGCCTCCTGAATAGGCACAGTGCCCAGCTCTAGGATCTACTTTTTTTAATCCTCAAAAAAAAATCTGATGGTATTAAGGTTTGAACTCTTGGCTTTGCACTCACAGGCAAGCAACTCTACCACTTTGGTCATGTCTCCAGCACTCCCCACTTATTTCTGTCAACTTATCCTAAGTTCTAGCCAGCCTTCTAACACCTCCTTAGCTAACTTGCATGCTAGTCCATGTTGCACGATTCTGAGATTTGTGAATGCAACACTCCTAGCCTGTCCAGGCAGAGCACATACATTCAGGTCTTGTCAGTATTTCTCAATTTATAGGCATGCAGCCAGCTTACTAATGGGAGCCAAAAGCTGATAGAGTGTTATAGACTGGGCCATCTCTTCTCTGTGCAAAGTCAAGAGCTTTATCTGGCTGTTGTGGAAAGCTCTAATAAGCCAAGCTATAACCTTGGCCTGATACCCTAAAGGAGTCAGGCATGTACAGAGGTCAGCAGGCCCCAGGAAGAGAGACTTAGGCCCAAAGGTCATGTAGGTAGGGGGGAGGGGGAAAGGATAATACTCAGGGACTTTTTAAAACATCAAAGCAATATTCACCTAACATGATGATTTTAAAGTGAATAATTCAGTAATATTGAGTGCATTCATGATGTTGCTCATCCATCATTGGGGGTCTTTCCAGCCCAGAACTGTGTTTCTCTCTCTCTCTCTCTCTCTCTCTCTATCTCTCATACTGGTCCTGGGCCTTGAACTCAGAGCCTGGGTGCCTGGGTGCTGTCCCTGAACTTTTTTCCTTAAGGCTAGTACTCTACCACTTGAGCCACAGCTCTACTTCTGGCTTTGTTGGTAATTAACTGGAGATAAGAATCTCACATATTTTCCTGCTCAGGCTACCTTGGAGCATGATCTTCAGATTTCAGCCTCCTGAGTAGTTTAGGAGTATAAGTGTGAGCTACCTGCATCCAATTCTCTCCTCCTTTTCATCCCTGGACTCATTCCCACTCATTCTCCATGAGCTATTAGGTATGTGGGGTAGTGGCCACAAAGGAATACATAAAATAAGAGGATAAGGGAAGTCTGCCTGCTGCTAGCTATTACACCTGGGTACATTTGCCTGAACTTTGGATTTTTTTATTTTTTTGTTGGTTGTGGGGCTTGAATTCAGGGCCTGGGCACTGTTCCTGAACTCTTTTATCCAAGATTCTACCACTTTGAGCCACAGCTCCACTTCTGGTTTTTGAGTGGTTAATTGGAGATAAGAGTCTGACAGGGACTTTTCTGCCCATGCTGGCTTCAAAGTATGATCCTCAGATCTCAGCCTCCTGAGTAGCTAGGCTTACAAACGTGAGCCACTGGTGCCAAGCTTGAGCTTTGGATTTTTTTTAAGCTTGCCCAGTAGGCTGAAGTATTTTAAAAGTGTTTTGCTTTCCATCCTCAAGCATTTGCTTGACCACACTTTCTGTATATTAATTGTCTCCATCTTCCTCTGGTGGAGAGTCCATTGGGCAGAAAATGAAGGTGAATCTCTGTAGGGTACAAAGGGCTCTGTTTTGTGCAGGTGGACAAACTGAGCATGAGGGTTATGCCTCCTGTACAGCTTTCTTCACTTTGCACAAGGCCCCTGTCCTAGAATGTTTGTCTGGGATGAGAATTGTCTTCTAAGTACACAAAGGAGAGGCACAGGTATCGGGAAGTCAGTCCTTTTGTTTGGCAGAAGATGCTGGTGATGGATCAGGGTTGTAAATGTGTGTTTTCTTTTCTTGTGTGTGTGTGGGGGGGGGGGGGGGAAGGATGTTACTAGGGCCTGAATCAGGTCCTGGGCTCTGTCCCTTAGCTTTGTTTTTTGCTCAAGACTGGCACTGTACTGCTTGAGCCCCAGCTCCACTTCAGCATTTTGGTGGTTGATTGAGATAAAGTCTCATAGACTTTCCTGCCCAGTCTGGCTTCAAATCATGAGCTTTAGATCTTAGCTTCCTTGAGTAGCTAGGATTACAGGCTTGAGCCACCAGCACCTGGCAATATACATTTTCTTAGCCTGAGTTAACTTCAAGTGAGGCCCATTTCTGAGATCATGAAAGTTGAAGTGGTACTACCTCATTTGTTTGTCTGCTCATCCATTTATTGAGCATCTGTTAGATTTTTGGTGCTGTGCTGGGCACTGGAGGCCAGTCAGTAAATCTTCTCTATATCATTCTTAGATTTAGAGCACCAAACTGTCTGAACCCCCAGGAGGCCTTTGAAAGGCTTCTCCATTGGGCCAAATTGTAGAATGACTGTGACTGATTTACCGTTAACCCTTTGAAGAAAAGACTAGCAGAGGAAAACAGGCTCATTTTGCCTATTAGTGGAAGAAATGAGTGGGGATTGGAGGAGTTGTCACAGTTTGGACTGGGGCATCAGAGAAAGTCCAGGGATTGCTTTTCTTTTCACTGATGAAAGGGTTATTAGCAAGTTACTGAATCACAGGTTTTTGTTTTTTCTGCCAGAGACCTCTGCTATATGGCTCTATATTGAAGACTGCTCCTTTGTGTTGTTGTTGTTTTTCACTCCTTTCATGACCCTCAGCTAGTGACTTAGCTGAAGGAGGTGGGAAAGGATGTGATGGGACCCAAGGAACTAGAGAAAGTCTGACGATGTCCACTCATGCAGAGCTGAAAAGCTCTGTTCTTACAAATGGAATGCCAAAAGTGCTTTAAAAAAGTGTTGAAAATTCATGAAATATAAAATTAATCAGATAAAAATGAACAGTTTGGAAGTGGTGCTGTGGCTAAAAGTGGTAGAGATCTAGCTTTGAGCAAAATAGTTCAGGAACAGCTTTCAGGCCCTGAGTTCAAGCTTCACGAATGACATTCCCCCCCACCACCAAAAAAAAAGCCAACAGTTTAGGGTAAGGGAGAGATAGGTGAGAATGTTGAAAGAGATGTCATTGATCAAAATACATTGTATTCATAAACTTCTTTGTTAAATGGCATCCTTCTTTGTACAACTACTTCAAGATAATAAAAATAAATAAATTTTTAGAAAAGTGCACAGTTGAAGCCAAGCACTGGTGGCTCATGTCTATGATCCTAGCTACTTAGGAGGCTGAGATCTGAGGGCTGCAATTTGAAGACAGCCCAGACAGGAAAGTCTGTGGGACTCTTATTTCCAATTAACTACCAGAAAAAAAAAGCAGAACTAGAGGCATGCTTCAAGTGTTATAGCATAGCTATAAAAGTAAATGCCAAGCTGGTGATAGTGGCTCACACCTGTAATTCTAGCTACTAACGAGGCTGAGATCTGATGATCAAAGCCAGCCCAGACAGGAAAGCTTGTGAGACTCTTATCTCCAGTCAAATCACCAAAAAAGCCAAAAGTTTAGCTGTGGCTCAAGTGGTAGAGCCTTAAGCAAAAGGAGCTTAGGGACAGCACACAGGCCCAGAGTTCAAGCCACAGGACTGGCAAGAAGAAGAAAGAAAGGCCAAGGAAGTGTTCCAGGCCCATGAGTTAAAGCTCCAGTATGAGGACAAAAAAAAAATATGGTTACAGCTGGGTGCTGGTAACTCATGCCTGTAATCCTAGCTGAAATCTCATGAGGCTGAGATCTGAGGATCCTGGTTCAAAGCCAGCCAGGGCAGGAAATTCCATGAGACTTTTTTTTTTTTGCCAGTTATGGTACCTAACTGTGGGTACCTAACTGTGAGACTGTGGGTGTAGCTTGCAAGGTAGAGAGCTTAATAAGTATGAGGCCTTGAGTCCAACTTCCAGTACTATCTGCAAAAAGTGAATCATTTTAGTGACAGTGCATTCACTAAATTGGAACCATCATCTCTATACACATCTCTATCTAGCTCCAAAATATTTTCATCACCCCTAGATGAGATCCTATACTCATTATGCATTTG